CATGTTTGACCATGGACTACTGACTGATTTCACAGACTTTCACGAGACAATTAGCAGACTATGCATATAGATCATTAAAACTGATGGACTGTTGACAATAGTATGAGAAAAGACTGCTTATGGACTGTTTATACAGCTGGTCAACAGATATGGACTGTGAATATAACTTCTTGGTTCTATTTGAACTGTGAACATTGACCTCTGCTCAAGGACTAGCTTACAGAAGAGGATGTTCTACGTTCAGTGCTTATAGACTGTTTAAGAAGACAATGTTGGTAATGTTGGGACAACATTTATTTTGTCGGGGAGAGTGTGACAGGTTAAAGGACATATTCATAGCCTGTTATACACTAAAAAGTATTAGTAAGTTCATGGTATGTAAGGATCTTAAAATATCTAAGGTTAAAAAGATCATGCATTCAGTACTAGTTCATAGAGATTGATAAAATTCATAATTGTGTTAAAATCCGTCAAGTGTACAAAGGGTAAATATTGTAAGAGGAATGTGTAAACGTTATATTGACTACTTTATTTTGTGGTGCCTAATTTAAGGGTAAAAGTGTTAATCTGTGATCTACTAAATGCTCTTAATCTATGAGCCTGAGATCGATTGCTCTGGTCTCCACCCAACTTTCTGGGGAAATCGCGGTCTTTTTTCTCATTATACAAAAGTTTTCAGGGAGGAAACATAACTGCATCACTCTCGTGATTTATTTCTCCCCTTTTTCAGGGGTGTAACACAACTCAATTTTGGAACACATGAAGAGAAGATGGCTTTATCTAAACCAAGGTACTTTATAGCTCTTTTAAACTAAATTATCCTTTATAATGTTGTCTAGATTATGCTAGTCCTATAAAATAAGTTGTTTATGTCTGTCCATCATACAGTAGACAGACACCACATTACAGGGAGTTAAGTTATTATACATATTTTGTGGTATAATACAGGAAGAGATTGAGAGCCGCACACTGTTGAAAACAAGGAAATGATCCAAAACTGAGGCTTAAATGCAAAAATAGAGATGGTTTATCGGGATATAATGAAGCCCAAATGTTTATTGATTGTGCAGAAAATAAAAATAAATAAACCACAACGTTTTGGCATCAAGCTATTATCAGTGTGAATGGTGGTAAACTACAGGAAATGAAAGCGATTGAAGACAATACTTTAGCCTCTCTGCTATTTACTCAATTGTTATTAAACCAAGTTTAAACATGGGAAAACTATAATCTGCTTTTCGCCTCTGGCTATATTAAGCAACTCCAACTCATTGGAAGACCGACCAGTTGAAGAAGCTGGAAAGTTCTAGAAAGTACTAGACGCCTTGATTCATTTCCTTTTGAAGATGAGTTGGAGTAATCCGTGTTAGGGGTTAATAGCAGAGAAGCTAAAGTATTCTCTTCAATCGCTTTCATTTCCTGTAGTATACCACAAAAGTTATATGAGAGCTTAACATCTGTTTTACAGTGCCTAGCTAGTGAAAGTCTACACACCCTTGCGCGGTCTTCACATTTTGCTGCCTTAATATTGAATCTAAAAAGGGATAACATTAGATTTTTTCCTACCGATCTATACAACCTACTACATATTTTCAATGTGAAACAGAAATTATAGAAAATGTTCCAAATTAATAAAACATGAAAATGTATTGATTGCATATGTCTTCACACCCCAGAGTTAATACTTGATGGAAGCACCTTTGGCAGCCATTACAGCTGTAAATAATTTTGAATAAGATTCTACCAATCTTGCACAACTCCTAGGGCGACATAATAGCCATTGTTTTTGTCAAAATTGCTCAAGCTTAGTACATTTGGTTGGAACCATTGATGGACAGCAATATTCAAGCCTTGTCTCTGATTTTCAAGCAGATTTAAATCCGGACTGGGACTGGACCATTCAGAAACACTCAACACCTCTTGGAAAGCCATTCTGGTGTGTCTTTGGCATTAAAATGTGTAATTCTCCAGCTGAAAAATAAACCTCTATCCCAGGATTAGGTTTTCAGAAGATCACTGCAGGTTTTCCTCTTAAGTTTTTAACTGGGCTTTTCTCCTTTCATATTGATTTTGATCCTGACCTTGCAGGTGACAAGCATACGCATGACATGATGCTGCCACCACAATACTTGAAAATACACAGGATCAACAACATTGCATTCACTCCACATTTGTGGCCTTAATGAGAAAGTGAAGAAGGAAGCCTGTGCAAAAAAAAAAAAAAAGCCTTTTAATCGAGTTTGGAATGATTTTAGTAGCTCATTTTAAATTGTTGGTGTTGAGCTAGGGTATGTCGACTACCATACCGTGCCATACCCTATTGACGCCCCTAAGTGAAACCCTCTGGATCTCCAAGTATTATGGTGGCAGCATCATGTTATGGGTAAGCTTGCCACCAGCAGGGACTGGGGATTTTATCAGGATAAAAAATTATACGAAAGGAGCAGAAACCCACCTCAGTCTTCTGAAAACCTAACAATGGGATACAGTTTTATTTTCCAGCGGGACAATTACATTTAATTACTGTCCATTAATGACTCCCAACCAAATTTACTGAGCTTGAGCAAATTTGACAAAAACAATGGATATATGTTGCCCTGAGAGTTGTAGAATCTTATTAAAAAAGATGCACAGCTGTAAGGGCTGCCAAAAGTGCTTTCACCAAGTATCAAAGGAGAAGTTTCCTTTTTTACAACCAAATCTCTATATTTTATGTAAATGGCATGTTGAAGAATGGTCCAGACACCTTTTTTTGTGATTTCACACATTTTTTTTAGAAACTTACCCAAACAGCAAATCACTTCTTCGTCCTCGTTGTATAGTATGGGGGCCCTGAAAAAAACATGAACATCGGCACCAAAAACAACCAAATACGTCCTTTTAGAAACGGAAAAGCTCTCAGTATAGTGATGCAAGTTTTTGGATGTTGTACACATGACATTGTGTCATTCTGAACTTTATCTGCCATGTTATATTCCTTTTTGAGCGACTCGAGCCGTTTCCCCTATCCAGCTGTTTCCTTTTCCGTGTAGCCTGCTGCTGCATGTAACTGCCAAAATAAAGTAAACACTAACATAAAGCACCTTAGTAGGGCTTTGGGCCACCACCAGCCGCCATAACAGCTTCAATACACCTTGGCATAGATTCTACAAGTGGGTCTTTCTATAGCAAATGGGGGCAATGGGTGACATTGGGATCAACATTTGAAAATGGTTTGAAACAAAACTAAAAATGATTTTCATGGAGCTCCACATGTGTAGCCTACTAGGAATAAAAATGAATATATGCAAATTGCACCATAACTCCACCTACACTTCCAGTCAAAAGTAGGACACACCTACTCATTCAAGGGTTTTTCTTTATTTTTACTATTTTTTACATTGTAGGATAATAGTGAAGACTTAAAAAGTATGAAATAACACATGGAATCATGTAGTAACCCAAAAAGTGTTAAACAAATCAAAATATATTTTATATTTAAGATTCTTCAAGTAGCCACCCTTTGCCTTGATGACAGCTTTGCACACTCTTGGCATTCTCAGGGACTTTTGCAAGCACTTAATTGTAATTTTCAAGGACCTCAATGTTATACAATTGTATAATGTATATAATTATACATATAAGGCCTAATATAGAATCCCCCCTCCCCCCAAAAACCATGCAAAAAGTGTACAAATAAATAAAATAAAAGTAGGCCATTACCACTTTAAGAATAATGCATTTTTTAGGCCTTGCCAATGTATTAATATTCAAATTAATATTACATTGTAAAATATGTGAGAATAATGTGGACATTGCCTGACTAAATAGATTGGATGCATGCATGGCGATTTGTCTGTAGCCTATGTGGCCGGCGCAGGTACACATAATAAAGCCATGCATAGCGGTAGGATTAATCTCACCATTTGAATCTCACCATCGCTATTTTTATAATGATGAAGTGACTAAAAACCAGGTTCCTTTTTTAATGGAAGGATTTGTATGGAAAGCCAAATTGAATCCAACATTAGATGTAATAACCGCACGTGGTTTTACCACAACAGAGTAGCCGAACACCATTCAATTAAAGCCGCAGGAAACAAACAAAAGTGGCCACATCTCTCACAAAAACGGATCAAAAATGAAATCACGGATAATTATAAGGGAGCGGGTGAACTTATAAAATGGCTACAATAATTACAGGAACTTTTCAAGCACCAAATTGAGGAAATGTCTGATTTTCAAGGTAGGTCTATTCCAGTACTTGAATTTCTGAGCTCTAAATTCAAGTTCAAGTAGGCTACTTCAAACCCCTTGTATTGTTTAAAATTGCAGGTGTAACATGGAAAACAAATGCATTTGTCATGTAATTTCATTACCAGATCATATTGTGAATAAGCCTACTAGGTTATGTAATTTGTTGTCATTATATCCAGAATAATTAATAGGAATAGCGTTGGGTGTTGCTCAATAGTCTATTCTACACTTGCCCACAGTAGACTCGGAGCACAGTAGTGTCGGTGTCCAATCCGAGGCACAAAAATATATGAAAACATGACCTCATTACCTTGATGCTTTCTCTGTTAAATCTAACGAGGCCCTGCTGTAAATCAAGCAGACAATAACAGATGATAAACATCAATTCCCTAGGAGTATTAGATCCAACGTGAATCCAGGCAAATTATTCTGGACATTCCTTGCAAACACCTTCTTTCCAGCACTTGGGATGTTGTTTCCTCGCATGCGCTATGACAACAGCTGTTCCTCACTTGACTGCCATTCGGAAAAATTCCTTCCTGGATCAGATGATGTGTGAAATATATAATAATAATATACCATTCTTATAGGGTTCAAGTTGAATGTCTAATTTAACTGATTAATTCTTAATATATGATATAAGGACAACTTACACTTCCATAAATGCAAGGACAGGGAAGTAATGTTTTATGACACCAACCATGATGAATTGTATTGAATATAGCTATGATCCCCCCTGATATCTTAATGTAAAGACATTAAAAAGAGATATATTTCTAATTAATTTTAGAATGTTTTGTGTGTTTCTGTCACCCACAGACCCACCATTAGGACTATGTATAACGACCTTGTCACAATGGGTAAGTGAAAATAGAATAATATGTCAAAAATATATAGATTTGATAACGGTTTCAATATTTGGTATAACACTCATTTACCTTCTCATTTTCTTCTTTATTGATGCAGCTCGGAACTTCCCTCCAAGGTAAGGGCCTGGTGAAAAGAATCTCAACTACACTACAATATTGCCACACAACAAATGTGTTTTTGTATGGCGACACAATCATTTATTTCCCTGAATGTCTTTCCAGGTCGGACCAAGACATGGGGAAGCTAATCAGAGGAGAGGAGAGCCCTTACATGCTGCCAGGAGGAACATTTGTTGGACTCCGTTTCCAAAACACCTGTGTTCTGAGTAGTCTTTTGGCCGGAATACATATAACAGCAACAAGATTTCGCAAAGTCAAAGATTATTTGATGACGGACAACACAGTCGGTGGAGTAATAACTTTTCTCGATAACAAAATGTATAATGAGGCGATGGGTCTTTGGCTTATTAATCTAGATTTGCGTGATGTTAGAAAAAAAAAATACTTTGACCAAACTGAATATCTAGATTGTAGAGGCTATGTCGAATGCTTCCTACCAAACTTTGATGACCTGATATTTATCAAATATGAAGACGACGACAACGATTACGATATGAGCCCCTCAGCTAGAATTTACAATGGAACACTGAGGTAATAAGTCATCATTGACTACATTTTCTATGTCATTGCTATAAACAAGAAGGTTCTATTTAACTATTAATTATTGAATCTATCGGATTACATTTATTTTACCTTATAGGTGTGTGCAAATACCATGTGAAATATAAACATGAAACACATTTTGTTAAGATACCAATGGCATTTTTATTTTTGAAACTGTTATTTTATTTTCTCTGTCCATCCTGTCGTGTTTCTCTTTCTGTGTGTTTTGAAAGCAATTTTAAGCTATATGGTCACGTTTACATCCTGGACACCATACTTGACCCTAAACTCATCCTGGTGAATGTGCGTGGCCGATTTGGGTACGGAGATAATCTTCCTTATGTCATCACGGATGACTTTTCAAGGTACTGTTAGGTTGAACTACATATGTTTGGTGTCACTACCAGTATGGTGCATATAGAATGCAGGAAATTAGGATATTGAAGGCTCTAATCCAATACTGGGGTTAAATATTTGGAAGTGGATATTTGACCGGTTTAGGAATTAGAGTTAGGTCAAGGTTAGTTTCAGTGAGGTTAGGTTACGGAAAGGCATAACATTTAACATTGGGCATAACCCAATGCCAACCCCAATAAAGCTTCTGTTTTTGTATTGTGTCCATTCTGATTTCATTTACATTTACATTACATTTGAGTCATTTAGCAGACGCTCTTATCCAGAGCGACTTACAGGAGCAATTAGGGTTAAGTGCCTTGCTCAAGGGCACATCGACAGATTTTTCACCTAGTCGGCTCGGGGATTAGAACCAGCGACCTTTCGGTTACTGGCACAACGCTCTTAACCACTAAGCTACCTGCCGCCCATTTCTACTCCTAACAGGAAGTATGAGCTTCAGTTCCTTTTGCTGGGTTTGAGCACAGCAGAGATGAAACACATGGTGCTGTGCGTTAAACAAGAAGGAGGACGATGGATGCTGTATGACAACTCGGTAACGCCCCAATTCCAGGACTTCAATATGGAGATAGAAATGAAGAAATATGGTATTTACCTCGCTGCCTACGTGAATTTGAAGAGTGCGTATCCAGAGAAACAAGTGCAAGAATCAGAGCGAGGTAAGGTATAACCAGGAAAACTGAAAACAGTTCTATGTTGTCACTGGAATCTTCAGTATTGAAGTAATCCTATATTGTCTTAGTCATTCAATTCCTAAGTGCAATTATGATTTGGCAAATGCGCCTAAGCATTAATATGCTACTCCATTATTTTACAGAAAATGACCTCCCCCTGCCAGTGGTTGTAACAGTCAACAACCGCCGATCAACATTCCCATTCAGCCAACCAGTGGAAGAAACAACCATCTACACCCTGATGTCGCAAGAGGAGGATGCTTCCCCCCAAGGTCTGTTCCTAACCATAGCGTGACTGCAGTTTTTCCCCCTTGCCACTGTCATCATAGGCTTGTTTTAAGGGGTATTTGGCATTAGGCATTAGACTGAAATGTTTTATTAACATTTGTTTAACACATGGGTCGGTGACAGGAAGAGCCATCACAAAAAACGAGTTTTGGGAGAGCAGCACATGAAATTGATAAGCCCTCGTCAAGCACAATTGAGACAATAGCTAATATTCAGCACCACGGACGGCAGTCGATTAAATCATCACGAAATTTGACATTCAAAACCACAGGATATTTTTTTAACTCTTTAAATTTTTGTATCACTCTTAGGCCTTCCTTTCGTTGTAGACTAGACTGCAGGGATGGTAACAACACAGCTAACTTGCACAAAAACATGTAGCCTGTACGAGATGTAAACATACCACTTTCCCCCACAGCTGAATGAACTGTTAATGTGTGGTAGGGATTAGAGACCTTTTCCTTTGCGCACTTTGACTGCATTTCTAACAAAAAGTTGAATAGTTATGTTTTTAATTTTTTTAATGAAATGACTACTTATGAGTGAAACATTATGGAAGACCCACCCCTGATTTAACCAAATATGTTGTCATAAATTACGTGTAAAGTTCTGTTTTCCCCTTCTCTGTCCCTCCCCTGTGGAAGGGGAAAACGCAGATGAATGTGGCTGAGGGCACCCTGGCCTGAATACACCGACATTCCTGGCCTGAACCCACTTGGTCGTGCTGCTGATCCCAGTCCTATGGAACCCCATGCTGACCAAGTCCACCTGGTTGTGCTGCCTCCACTGGATCGGCCTGTCCCCTTAAGCCGCTACACCCACAAACTTGTATTTCTTTACTTACCATGCCTTTATGAAAAGCTATCTGACCACAGGGTCTTGAAAATCTCTATCCGGTACAGCCAGAAGAGGATGGGCCACCCCACTGAGTCAGGTTCCTCTCTAGGTTTCTTCCTTTTAGGGAGTTTTTCCTAGCCACTGTGCTCTCTTTTCTACTTTGCTCTTTGGGGTCTGGGCCGGATTACTGAAAAGTACTTGACAACTGCATAAATAAATGTGATTGATTAACAACAGGGATACTTTCCCATTGATTTTACATAAGAGGCACCACCAGGTTCACTAAGTACAGTATGTAAGTGTTAGATTTATAAGACATTTGATCGCAACTTTGCATCTATCAAAGTTCCAAAATATAGTGAGGGGAAAAAAGTATTTGATCCCCTGCTGATTTTGTATGTTTGCCCACTGACAAAGAAATGATCAGTCTATAATTTTAATGGTAGGTTTATTTGAACAGTGAGAGACAGAATAACAACAAAAAAATCCAGAAAAACGCATGTCAAAAATGTTATAAATTGATTTGCATTTTAATGAGGGAAATAACTATTTGACCCCCTCTCAATCAGAAAGATTTCTGGCTCCCAGGTGTCTTTTATACAGGTAACAAGCTGAGATTCGGAGCACACTCTTAAAGGGAGTGCTCCTAATCTAATTTTGTTACATGTATAAAAGACACCTGTCCACAGAAGCAAGCAATCAATCAGATTCCAAACTCTCCACCATGGCCAAGACCAAAGAGCTCTCCAAGGATGTCAGGGACAAGATTATAGACCTACACAAGGCTGGAATGGGCTACAAGACCATCGCCAAGCAGCTTGGTGAGAAGGTGACAACAGTTGGTGCGATTATTCGCAAATGGAAGAAACACAAAAGAACTGTCAATCTCCCTCGGCTTGCAATGATCATGAGAACGGTGAGGAATCAGCCCAGAACTACACGGGAGGATCTTGTCAATGATCTCAAGGCAGCTGGGACCATAGTCACCAAGAAAACAATTGGTAACACACTACGCCGTGAAGGACTGAAATCCTGCAGCGCCCGCAAGGTCCCCCGGCTCAAGAAAGCACATATACAGGGCCGTCTGAAGTTTACCAATGAACATCTGAATGATTCAGAGAACTGGGTGAAAGTGTTGTGGTCAGATGAGACCAAAATCGAGCTCTTTGGCATCAACTCAACTCGCCGTGTATGGAGGAGGAGGAATGCTGCCTATGACCCCAAGAACACCATCCCCACCGTCAAACATGGAGGTGGAAACATTATGCTTTGGGGGGGGGGGGGTTTCTGCTAAGGGGACAGGACAACTTCACTGCATCAAAGGGACGATGGACGGGGCCATGTACCGTCAAATCTTTGTTGAGAACCTCCTTCCCTCAGCCAGGGCATTGAAAATGGGTCGTGGATGGGTATTCCAGCATGACAATGACCCAAAACACACGGCCAAGGCAACAAAGGAGTGGCTCAAGAAGAAGCATATTAAGGTCCTGGAGTGGCCTAGCCAGTCTCCAGACCTTAATCCCATTGAAAATCTGTGGAAGGAGCTGAAGGTTCGAGTTGCCAAACATCAGCGTCGAAACCTTTAATAACTTGGAGAAGATCTGCAAAGAGGAGTGGAACAAAATCCCTCCTGAGATGTGTGCAAACCTGGTGGCCAACTACAAGAAACGTCTGACCTCTGTGATTGCCAACAAGGGTTTTGTCACCAAGTACTAAGTCATGTTTTGCAGAGGGGTCAAATACTTATTTCCCTCATTAAAATGCAAATCAATTTATAAATATTTTCACATGCGTTTTTCTGGATTTTTTTGTTGTTATTCTGTCTCTCACTATTCAAATAAACCTACCATTAAAATTATACACTGATCATGTCTTTGTCAGTGGGCAAATGTACAAAATCAGCAGGGGATCAAATAATTTTTCCCTTACTGGAACACCATTAACATTATCAGACTTGTACAGTGGGGAAAAAAAGTATTTAGTCAGCCACCAATTGTGCAAGTTCTCCCACTTAAAAAGATGAGAGAGGCCTGTAATTTTCATCATAGGTACACGTCAACTATGACAGACAAAATGAGAAAAAAAAATCCAGAAAATCACATTGTAGGATTTTTAATGAATTTATTTACAAATTATGGTGGAAAATAAGTATTTGGTCAATAACAAAAGTTTCTCAATACTTTGTTATATACCCTTTGTTGGCAATGACACAGGTCAAACGTTTTCTGTAAGTCTTCACAAGGTTTTCACACACTGTTGCTGGTATTTTGGCCCATTCCTCCATGCAGATCTCTAGAGCAGTGATGTTTTGGGGCTGTCGCTGGGCAACACGGACTTTCAACTCCCTCCAAAGATTTTCTATGGGGTTGAGATCTGGAGACTGGCTAGGCCACTCCAGGACCTTGAAATGCTTCTTACGAAGCCACTCCTTCGTTGCCCGGGCGGTGTGTTTGGGATCATTGTCATGCTGAAAGACCCAGCCACGTTTCATCTTCAATGCCCTTGCTGATGGAAGGAGGTTTTCACTCAAAATCTCACGATACATGGCCCCATTCATTCTTTCCTTTACACGGATCAGTCGTCCTGGTCCCTTTGCAGAAAAACAGCCCCAAAGCATGATGTTTCCACCCCCATGCTTCACAGTAGGTATGGTGTTCTTTGGATGCAACTCAGCATTCTTTGTCCTCCAAACACGACGAGTTGAGTTTTTACCAAAAAGTTCTATTTTGGTTTCATCTGACCATATGACTTTCTCCCAATCCTCTTCTGGATCATCCAAATGCACTCTAGCAAACTTCAGACGGGCCTGGACATGTACTGGCTTAAGCAGGGGGACACGTCTGGCACTGCAGGATTTGAGTCCCTGGCGGCGTAGTGTGTTACTGATGGTAGGCTTTGTTACTTTGGTCCCAGCTCTCTGCAGGTCATTCACTAGGTCCCCCCGTGTGGTTCTGGGATTTTTGCTCACCGTTCTTGTGATCATTTTGACCCCACGGGGTGAGATCTTGCGTGGAGCCCCAGATCGAGGGAGATTCAGTGGTCTTGTATGTCTTCCATTTCCTAATAATTGCTCCCACAGTTGATTTCTTCAAACCAAGCTGCTTACCTATTGCAGATTCAGTCTTCCCAGCCTGGTGCAGGTCTACAATTTTGTTTCTGGTGTCCTTTGACAGCTCTTTGGTCTTGGCCATAGTGGAGTTTGGAGTGTGACTGTTTGAGGTTGTGGACAGGTGTCTTTTATACTGATAACAAGTTCAAACAGGTGCCATTAATACAGGTAACGAGTGGAGGACCGAGGAGCCTCTTAAAGAAGAAGTTACAGGTCTGTGAGAGCCAGAAATCTTGCTTGTTTGTAGGTGACCAAATACTTATTTTCCACCATAATTTGCAAATAAATTCATTAAAAATCCTACAATGTGATTTTCTGGATTTCTTTCTCTCAATTCGTCTGTCATAGTTGACGTGTACCTATGATGAAAATTACAGGCCTCTCTCATCTTTTTAAGTGGGAGAACTTGCACAATTGGTGGCTGACTAAATACTTTTTCCCCCACTGTATAATGACTAAAAAGTCATAGACCATGGGGGTAAATTACATCTGAGAAATATTCACTAGATAGGGAATGCATAATAGATTAACAGTTTGTCATTACACAGGACAGTCCTATACAAGGAAAAAGATAAAGCTACTAGTTATTTACTGGTAATCAACATAAGAAAGCTCTGTAAATGTCTTGAATTGATTATTTATTTTCACAGTATTTAATTCACTATGGTCAGCAGTGGCCACATAAAACCTTGTTTGATAGAGTAAATGTCTTTATGCTTCTTACCCTATGCAATTAAGCATATAGCTTTTATAATGTTAGTGTTCAGACAGTTAATGACATGAAACATGTTAAGAGTTTGTTATAACGTTTGACCATTAGCAGCTTGTAAAAACAGTAATCACGCCTGAAACAGTGGAGAACACTTTGTATCATAATAAGTCAACTGACTGGTCTCTGTCAAAGGACAACGTAACTAACAAGCATCACTACCATGGCACAGTTATGCATGTTGTGTACATGGCTCTGTAGCACCAAGTGCAGCCCCTCAAAAAAGTAGATTTATGAATGTGATCAGTCCTTACATTTACGTCATTTAGTAGACACTCTTATCCATAGCGACTTACAGGAGCAATTAGGGTTAAGTGTCTTGCTCAAGGGCACATCAACAGATTTTTCATCTAGTCGGCTCAGGGATTCGAACCAGCAACCTTTCAGTTACAGGCCCAACGCTCTTCACCGCTAGGCTACCTGTCTGACTGACAGTCCAGGTTTTAGAATGAGCTGATGCCCATTGTCTTTCGTATTTGTTCGAATGAGAGCCAAAATGTCATGGACCAGGGAGCCTGTAGTACCAAAGAGACAACAAGGGCAGTATGAATGTATTGTACATTGCCACAGTCAAAGATCAAAAGCATTATAATACTAGACCGAGTAAATGTACCATTCTCATCCAAGTAGGGAGAAAGCCTTTGTACAGGGATATGAACCCTTCCCCCTTGACAGATTGGATCAGGCAGTCAATGGAAGACTTGTACAATATGCCCCTGTGGAAAAATGTATGTAGCCTATTAGGTAGATACCTTTATTTAGTTGATTGGTCTTTCAGCATTATAAAACCTGTAATATGAATGATTTATCTGTTGCATTTTGGATTATCACTTGTTACAATAAGCTGTAAATGACATCCTAAGCATATAGCACAGTAACACTATCAAGGAATGAATACTGTTCTCTGATTGGCTGCCTCACCTGCCATTCGGATCTCTGGGCTGGTTCATTATTCTGGTTTTGATGACATCTGCTGGTGTTCCCATGGTAGCAGCAACCAGACCAGAACATGTGCTGGATGGAGAGAGGACTTCAGAATTTGAATTTGAAAATATATTCTCTGAAGTAGTTAGATATACATTTTGAGTTATCATTAAATCTCTGTGTTATACTTTACCTTGCTAACCCATGGCAAAGGCTGGTGTCTTGTAGCGAGGTATTTCTCAGAAGAAAGTGCTTGACAGTATCATATGTTGTGAGATCTAATTACATTTGAGAGCAATTAAATCCCTATACACATTACAGACAGTACATTTTCACTTTTGCCTGTATTCACTCAACTATACCTCCTAGATTGACCAGAGCAGCCCTCTGTACGTTGGGGACCCACCCTGCCCACAGGCCCCGGATCCCCCCTTCAGAGACAATCTTCAGGAAAGCATGGTACACTCCTTGAACCCTGTCTCAAAAGAGGCCAGATGAGTCCACTTTTATTTTTTTAAAGAGGGAAACTTCTCTCTCACATGATACTGTATCTAATGAGTGATTATTAGCTTACAACTAAATTACATGAGTTAAAATAGGAAGTACAAACCGACATACAGTTTAGGTTGAAGGATGGCTAAAGACTGAAAACTAGCTAAACACACTCACCGGGGTGGCTTGCCCTCCAGCCTGCGTCTCCCCTCCATCTGCATCTGCACCTTGACCAGGTCGGTGGGGCTGGCCATGAACTGACCCACAGCCCCAGCCAGCATGCCCCCGATCGCTGCTTTCCTGTTGGGAAAAGGAGAGCAAACAGTGGCTTGGCTGGGTGGACACTGGCAGAGAGGCCCAAATCAAAATGTATTTGTCACATGCTTCGTAAACAACAGCTGTAAACTAACAGTGAAATGATTACTTACAGGTCCTTTTCCAACAATGCAGAGTTAAGATTTTTTATACATAAAGACGAGGAATAAATACACAGTGAATAACAACAATGAGTAAAAGTAACATGAATATGTACAGGGATAACCAGTACTGAGTCAATGTGCAGGGGTACCAGGTGGTTGAGGTAGCTATGTACATATAGGTAGGGGGTCTGAGCCTAGTTCAGTCTGCTCCTGATAAATGCAGTGGCTTGGGACTACTATGAATGCATGCACTAAGCAAAGCATGGAGACCTCCAGAGCAATAGACATCCAGTCTTTGTTCTGTTGAGACTGGGGAAATGCAATGCTCTTCAACAGTTTGCATTTATCTGATGTGACTTTACATTTACTGTGGTTATAGTTATAGTATTGAGGAGTAGTGGTCAGCTCCACCACTGTGCTGTTCTCTCACCAAAGCGGGAAGCTATCATCTTCAGACCTGCCAAGGACATCTCGGAGCTGCTCATAGGCCACCATCCGCACTCCTGAGTACACTAGCAGAAGTACAGTAGGAGGTTAATGCAGGGAAGATGATGTGGGTAACTAGCCCTTATCAACAAACCCCCATGTATGTAAGTAGTGAGATCAGTCTGGTGTAGGCTACCTATATGTCTGTACACAGCTGGTGTGGCCCCCTGCCACAGTTTAAGGGGACCCTCCTCGCGTACAATCCCCAGGGCAGTGCCCAGCATCCCTCTGTAGGCCGTCTGAGGGCCCCTACCGGGGCCATGCTGTCTGAGGGCCGCTTCGCCCTGGATCTGAAGCCTGGTCTTGGTCAGGTCGAGGGGGAATGTCACTGGAACCGATATTGAGACAACTTTGAGTTGATAACAGTGACACTGTTCTGTGTAATGTAAAACATTCCGAAAAATATATGGTAATGAAATTGTAGAATTGACATTGAATTGATTCGACAATGACCAGTACCCTAAAAGAAGCTGGAAAATATTGGAGAGCACGTATATGCCTACCCATTTCAGCAACAGTAGCTGCACATGCTGACAAGATGAACTTTGAAACCCGAGGCCACTGCGGGACCCCTGACTTCTCTTCTTGTCCCATTTTGAAATCCTTTTGCAAGTCTGTGCAAGTCAGCCTAACAGTTCGCGATTACTTTGGTACTCCGTTTGAAAGTAGCTCCCTACACATTATAAAACAAAGACATGCAATGATCATTATAGTTATTTTTATTTATGCTGAACGCTGTGCACCGTTTAAACAGCGACATGTGCAAAGATGACATGCTGCTTCGCTTAAACGTATACTTTTCTCTTCTACAGGACAACGACCTTTAACCAGAGAACAGGAAATGTAGTTAATGTGAAGAGAATTTATCGCACAGCCTACTGCATCGGGGCTCTGTCAAACTACATTTCCTAAACAACTTTTCGCGCAATGTTGACAAAATTAAGCTCTGCCCTCATTTTAGCAGATTGGTCCAGACTGAGAAAGAAGCCCACCCTGGTTGGCTAATCTTCCTGTCATTTCACCATCTGCTTTTGCCTCAAGTGACATGTGCGGTCAACTCACTCGAGAGTCATGAGCCTTAGGGTGATGTCAGACCAGTGTTATGGACGTCATAACTTTGATCCTGTCTCTGGTTATCGTGGCTATTTCAGCGCATATTTTATTTGGGGGAAATTATACAAATGCTCCACCATGCTTAAAAGGATGGATCCCCTGGTTTGGTGCGGCATTCGAGTTTGGGAAATCTCCTCTGACTTTCATCTCTCAAGCCAGAGATAAGGTAACGGTGGTTGGGCTATATGCTATTATAGCCTCATTTGATTGTTATTCTGAATATTACGTTTTCGACCCTATGACCTAATTGTTTATTTGTTCGAATGCTACAGATGTAAATTTGGCCCACATAATCTCTGAGTTGTAATGGTGTCAACATCAACCGTGTCTCACTTTGTGATATCGATGACAATTAAAGCTAGCTTCTGCATCCCTGTGTTATACTTTATCCATCCATCCATCCATCCCCCTCTCTCTCTCTCTCTCTCTCTCTCTCGCTTTCCCACTCACTCACTCACTCATTCACTCACTCACACACACACACACACACAAACACACAAATACTTTTTATTGATCAAACTTAGCCTTGCCAAATTCAGATAGGTCTATAGATATATAGATAGAGAATCATCAGCAGATATTAATGCCAAGTGGATGTGGCTCCCTCTCATCTCAAGGCCGTGGGGCTCTCTTTCAAAGTCCAAGGTCTCTGGTCTCTTCAGGAGCTCACCTCAACCTGCTGAACTCTGTGGCACATAACGTTAGATACTATATGAATGTGTAATAAACGAACTTGGTTTTTATTGCCACTAGTGTACTTGTTGCATTATCTCCCTAATTCATTAACTGCCTATATCAGCCATCAGCTTCAAGCAATGATGCCCCTTCCTAGAAGTCATGGAAGATAACACATGAGTGATACACCCTGACCCTATACACTCTGTGTGATGGTAGATTTGCTGCGCACATGGCAAGGCAAAATGCTGATATTGCCAAAAAAGTACATTCAATCAAGGAAGGCTGCCACATGCCAAGCTCAGTTCCACTGTAAAACTAGGAGCAGAATGTTGTACCAGACTGCCCACGGCCTTTTCAACTTTATCACTGTGCCCCAGATTTAGTGGGCTGTGTGATTTAGGCCTATTGAGTCCACTCAGCACAGTAATTTATGTAACTGGGCCTTGGGGAGCTAGTTAGCAGCATGCACTGACCCAGTTGATGCAAACCTTTGTGCAGGGAAATGACTGCTGTGCCAGGGGTTTTGTTATTGTGGAGGGGTGGCCAAGTTGTATGAATGGGGCATTCGAAGTCGCACACTATAGTTATTCAGATGAGCATTCCCGGGATATAGTGGCAGTTTGGTTGTTTTGTTGTTCAGCTGTGTGTTATTACTATGTTGTACTCATGTTTCAACCTGTTTCATTGATCTAATGTCAAAGTTGATGCTGACAAACGCTGTCAGACTCCCTGATTAGGACTGTTGCTGCCATCAAGTTTTATCCATTTGTTTACATAATCTTGTACAGAAAATAACACTACCAGGTCTGTTTTCTTATCAAGACAAAATTATAATGAACTCCCGAGTGGCACTGCATCGCAGTGCTAGCTGTGCCACTAGAGATCCTGGTTCGAATCCAGGCTCTGTCGTAGCCGGCCGCGACCGGGAGACCCATGGGGCAGCGCACAATTGGTCCAGGGTAGAGGAGGGAATGGCCGGCAGGGATGTAGCTCAGTTGGTAGAGCATGGCGTTTGCAACACCAGGGTTGTGGGTTCGATTATGAAAAATAAATAAAAAATAATGTATGCACTCACTAACTGTAAGTCGCTCTGGATAAGAGTGTCTGCTAAATGACTAAAATGTAAAAATATTACAATTTGTATTTTCCAGTATGGACCTGTCTTCACTGTTGTCGCGGCTGGCAAGCGATTGACCTTTGTGACCCTTCATGAAGACTTCCACACATTTTTCATGTCCAAAGATGTGGATTTTGAGCAGGCAGTCCAAGAGCCTGTCCATAATACAGGTGGGGTTTTACTGTGTGTGTTAGAGTTTCCTGTGCTGAAACGTTAGTTCTGGAGCTGACACTGTTCTCCCATGACTTTGGCCTTCGCTGGTCCACCTGCCAGTGGTTTCAGCTTTCTCCCCATAGGTTCAGATTACTCAGCTGCCACATTTAACATCTGACTGGAAGTGTTTTTCAATTTGTTTTGTAGTAGTAATAAAAAATGACAATGTTTCTCTGTTTTTCTCTTATTTCAAGAGACATTAATGATCGATGGATTCTTGAAAGTGTCTTGCGAGTGTGTACTGAAAGATATATAACCTCTGTACATTATTAATGTTCTATCTATAGGCTCATAATAAATTATGAATAGACTATCTATTGTTGTACACTGATACTGACCAGCTCACTGACTGTTACAATAACAGAAGCTTCAAGCTGAATGGATTCAATTCACTTTACTTCAATTTAGTTATGTCCAAATGGGTTTAAAAGTGTAATGCGGACAACACAACAACAACACAATAGAAACATAACCAACAGCATAATACAGCAATGTGTTTTTCTCTCTGTAGCTTCCATCAGCAAGGAGAGTTTCTATAAGTTCCACCCAGCATGCAACACTCTGATCAAGGGCCGTCTGACCCCAGGCAACGTGGCCCAGCTGACTGACCACTTGTGTGAGGAGTTCAACGACCACCTGGAGACGCTGGGGGACCAGGGATCCGGGGGACTCAATGAGCTGGTCAGGTAAACTATAGTGTCCCTGACTGTTTATTTGTTCATTCCTTATGGAGAGGAGGGAGAGGTATGAGTGTTCAGTACGTATGAAACTGGAAAACATTTAGAAAAACAAATGGAAGGAGTGCAATATGGATCACTGAAATTGGCTTATTAGGATTAGTGTTAGGTTAACTAGCATTAGAATACTGTAACTGGCTGTGCGCTGAGGTTGTTTTCATAAGGTTGATCTACCTGAGACTGTGTGGTCCTATGTACAGTATCCTTCTTTGATGAGTAATATACTGTAGGGTGCTGCCAATCCTTTGTCCTGTCCACCACACCTATCGTTCAGGTGTCAGGAGTCATATTTCACAGCTGAAATAATATTACCTTCAGTGGAAGAACTACCTAAACCAGAATTTCTGGACTGACGGACATGACAGGAAAGAAGGAATGATGAAACAAGTTAGGAGATAAAGGACTGTTATCCACTTCTTACATTTGATTGGCTCATCATTTAACAGCATGGTCTGTTATGCACTATTACCCTGCTATTACACACAACTGGTGATGATCATCACTCAGACAACTGTAGAACCATTTTATGTAAAAAAAGAAAAATAAATAACAAATGTATTATCTTTTTCCAATGTAATCCCTACACAGCAGTATCTAAAACCCTCTGACCAGACTGACCAGTAGCCTCTATAATAGTCATTGGCTCGTCTCTCCTCATGTTGGACAGGGCCGTAATGTACCCTGCTGTGATGAGTAACCTACTGGGGAAGTGTAACTCTCCAGGCAGTCCCTTTACCATGGAGCAGTTCAAGGAGAAGTTTGCCATCTACGACGAGGGCTTTGAGTACGGCTCCCAGCTACCAGACATGTTCCTCAGGTCTGTGTGGCACTGGTCTGGTTAGTCTGATAGTTAGTTCCTGTCTTCAAACTGCTGTAGTAGTAGGCAGGTGAATAGGGTGGAATATACATTTCATTGTGTAAATTGCTTGTAATATAAGACAGTATAGATTTGACCAATATACTGTATATTTAAATTGTACCTCGGCCCTGGCTAATATTAGTTTGTTCACATGAAAAAATAAACAGATGAACCCAATTACCCCCACTGTTATGGAAGCAGTATAGAGTTTATTTACTAAGGACTATGTGCTCATAGCAAATCCCAGGAAATTGAGGGGAAAACCTCTGTGTTGAAATGTACAGTACAGTTGGCCTATCTCAGAATAAACAAGACAGTCTGACCAGACTGTTGATTTAGGTAAAAAGACACCTTTATTGACATAGTGTGGTTGTGGTACTCATGTGAGGGTAAGGTACAAAGTAGCCTTGGAAACCAAGACTTCAATAGTCAAGTAAACGAGACAGGATTTTGAAAGGCTGGCCACGTGAGACTAGGTACAAGGCTACAGCACTGTATGTTTTCTAAATAGTTGTATTTTTGGGGTTAGGGAATGGGCCAGTTCCAAACGCTGGCTTCTGTCCCTATTGGGGAACATGGTGGTCAAAGCAGAGAATGATGAGACATCCAGTGAAACAGGCAACAGGGTGAGTCCTGTCTTTGAATAGAGAACAATACAGTTTTAAATGTTGGATGATTGTACTATGATTTTATTGAATGGATGATTCATTTGCATATTGGAAATGTGACATTTTGACATTGAGTCGTGTCTCATAACTCAACAGTTGGGGTCTAACATTAAGTCATTTTATTTTAATCATTTTGCCAAGGTTGTCTTCTGTAGATGGATGCAATGATAATTCTTTATGGGACGAGATGCACTTTTTACCCACCTTGACAGTTGTCCCAGTTAAGATATGAAACATATTGTCACTCATTCGTTGTCAGCCATAAAGATTCTCCATATTTCATCTTGATAAAGGCTTCTGATTGATAAAAGGTCATTGGACCATGTGAAACCTTTAAAATGAGCATCCAGATTCCAGAACAGCACCTGTCCCAGCCAGCTAAGATCGATAGCTGCTCACTTTTTATCTTACTGATGTTCCTGGCCTGCATACTGGTGTTATAACTTCTAGTTAGTGCAATATTTGTCTATATACACTGCTCAAAAAAATAAAGGGAACACTAAAATAACACATCCTAGATCTGAATGAATGAAATAATCTTATTAAATACTTTTTTCTTTACATAGTTGAATGTGCTGACAACAAAATCACACAAAAATTATCAATGGAAATCAAATGTATCAACCCATGGAGGTCTGGATTTGGAGTCACCCTCAAGATTAAAGTGGAAAACCACACTACAGGCTGATCCAACTTTGATGTAATGTCCTTAAAACAAGTCAAAATTAGGCTCAGTATTGTGTGTGGCCTCCACGTGCCTGTATGACCTCCCTACAACGCCTGGGCATGCTCCTGATGAGGTGGCGGATGGTCTCCTGAGGGATCTCCTCCCAGACCTGGACTAAAGCATCCGCCAACTCCTGGACAGTCTGTGGTGCAACGTGGCGTTGGTGGATGGAGCGAGACATGATGTCCCAGATGTGCTCAATTGGATTCAGGTCTGGGGAACGGGCGGGCCAGTCCATAGCATCAATGCCTTCCTCTTGCAGGAACTTCTGACACACTCCAGCCACATGAGGTCTAGCATTTTATTTTAAGAATGTGAAATGTCAGAATAATAGTAGAGATAATGATTTATTTCAGCTTTTATTTCTTTCATCACGTTCCCAGTGGGTCAGAAGTTTACATACACTCAATTAGTATTTGGGAGCATTGCCTTTAAATTGTTTAACTTGGGTCTAGCATTGTCTTGCATTAGGAGGAACCCAGGGCCAACCGCACCAGCATATGGTCTCACAAGGGGTCTGAAGATCTCATCTCGGAACCTAATGGCAGTCAGGCTACCTCTGGCGAGCACATGGAGGGCTGTGCGGCCCCCCAAAGAAATGCCACCCCACACCATGACTGACCCACCGCCAAACCGGTCATGCTGGAGGATGTTGCAGGCAGCAGAACGTTCTCCACGGCGTCTCCAGACTCTGTCACGTCTGTCACATGTGCTCAGTGTGAACCTGCTTTCATCTGTGAAGAGCACAGGGCGCCAGTGGCGAATTTGCCAATCTTGGTGTTCTCTGGCAAATGCCAAACGTCCTGCACGGTGTTGGGCTGTAAGCACAACCCCCACCTGTGGACGTCGGGCCCTCATAACACCCTCATGGAGTCTGTTTCTGACCGTTTGAGCAGACACATGCACATTTGTGGCCTGCTGGAGGTCATTTTGTAGGGCTCTGGCAGTGCTCCTCCTGCTCCTCCTTGCACAAAGGCGGAGGTAGCGGTCCTGCTGCTGGGTTGTTGCCCTCCTACGGCCTCCTCCACGTCTCCTGATGTACTGGCCTGTCTCCTGGTAGCGCCTCCATGCTCTGGACACTACGCTGACAGACACAGCAAACCTTCTTGCCACAGCTCGCATTGATGTGCCATCCTGGATAAGCTGCACTACCTGAGCCACTTGTGTGGGTTGTAGTCTCTGTCTCATGCTACCACTAGAGTGAAAGCACTGCCAGCATTCAAAAGTGACCAAAACATCAGCCAGGAAGCATAGGAACTGAGAAGTGGTCTGTGGTCACCACCTGCAAAACCCATCCTTTATTGGGGGTGTCTTGCTAATTGCCTATAATTTCCACCTGTTGTCTATTCCATTTGCACAACAGCATGTGAAATGTATTGTCAATCAGTGTTGCTTCCTAAGTGGACAGTTTGATTTCACAGAAGTGTGATTGACTTGGAGTTACATTGTGTTGTTTAAGTGTTCCCTTTATTTTTTTAAGCAGTGTATATATCATATATATACATACAGTTGAAGTCGGAAGTTTACATACACCTTAGCCAAATACATTTAAACTCAGTTTTTCACAATTCCTAACATTTAATCCCAGTAAAAATTCCCTGTCTTAGGTCAGTTAGGATCACCACTTTATTTTAAGAATGTGAAATGTCAGAATAATAGTAGAGATAATGATTTATTTCAGCTTTTATTTCTTTCATCACGTTCCCAGTGGGCCAGAAGTTTACATACACTCAATTAGTATTTGGGAGCATTGCCTTTAAATTGTTTAACTTGGGTCAAACGTTTCGGGTAGCCTTCCACAAGCTTCCCACAATAAGTTGGGTGAATTTTGGCCCATTCCTCCTGACAGAGCTGGTGTAACTGAGTCAGGATTGTAGGCTTCCTTGCTCGCACACGCTTTTTCAGTTCTGCCCACAAATGTTCTATAGGATTGAGGTCAGGGCTTTGTGATGGCCACTCCAATACCTTGACTTTGTTGTCCTTCAGCCATTTTGCCACAACTTTGGAAGTATGCTTGGGGTCATTGTCCATTTGGAAGGAACATTTGCGACCAAGCTTTAACTTCCTGACTGATGTCTTGAGATGTTGCTTCAATATATCCACATAATTTTCCTTCCTCTTGATGCCATCTATTTTGTGAAGTGCACCAGTCCCTCCTGAAGCAAAGCACCCCCACAGCATGATGCTGCCACCCACGTGCTTCACGGTTGGGATGGTGTTCTTCGGCTTGCAAGCACCCCCTTTTTCCTCCAAACATAACGATGGTCATTATGGCGAAACAGTTCTATTTTTGTTTCATCAGACCAGAGGACATTTCTCAAAAAAGTACGATCTTTGTCGCCATGTGCAGTTGCAAACCGTAGTCTGGCTTTTTTATGGCAGTTTTGGAGCAGTGGCTTCTTCCTTGCTGAGCGGCCTTTCAGGTTATGTCGATATAGGACTCGTTTTACTGTGGATTTAGATGCTTTTGTACCTGTTTCCCCCAGCATCTTCACAAGGTCCTTTGCTGTTGTTCTGGGATTGATTTGCACTTTTCGCACCAAAGTACGTTCATCTCTAGGAGACAGAACGTGGCTCCTTCCTGAGTGGTATGATGGCTGCGTGGTCCCATGGGGTTTATACTTGCAAACTATTGTTTGTACAGATGAACGTGGTACCTTCAGGCGTTTGGAAATTGCTCCCAAGGATGAACCAGACTTGTGGAGGTCTACAAATTTTTTTCTGAGGTCTTGGCTGATTTATTTTGATTTTCCCATGATGTCAAGCAAAGAGGCACTGAGTTTGAAGGTATGCCTTGAAATACATCCACAGGTACACCTCCAATTGACTCAAATGATGTCAATTAGCCTATCAGAAGCTTCTAAAGCCATGACATAATTTTATGGAATTTTCCAAGCTGTTTAAAGGCACAGTCAACTTAGTGTATGTAAACTTCTGACCCACTGGAATTGTGATACAGTGAATTAGAAGTGAAATAATCTGTCCGTAAACAATTGTTGGAAATATTACTTGTGTCATGCACAAAGTAGATGTCCTAACCTACTTGCCAAAACTATAGTTTATTAACAAGACATTTGTGGAGTGGTTGAAAAAATAGTTTTAATGACTCCAACCTAAGTGTATGTAAACTTCCGACTTCAACTGTATACAGTGGGGAAAAAAAGTATTTAGTCAGCCACCAATTGTGCAAGTTCTCCCACTTAAAAAGATGAGAGAGGCCTGTAATTTTCATCATAGGTACACGTCAACTATGACAGACAAATTGAGAGAAAGAAATCCAGAAAATCACATTGTAGGATTTTTTATGAATTTATTTGCAAATTATGGTGGAAAATAAGTATTTGGTCACCTACAAACAAGCAAGATTTCTGGCTCTCACAGACCTTCTTTAAGAGGCTCCTCTGTCCTCCACTCGTTACCTGTATTAATGGCACCTGTTTGAACTTGTTATCAGTATAAAAGACAACTGTCCACTTTCCTCAAACAGTCACACTCCAAACTCCACTATGGCCAAGACCAAAGAGCTGTCAAAGGACACCAGAAACAAAATTGTAGACCTGCACCAGGCTGGGAAGACTGAATCTGCAATAGGTAAGCAGCTTGGTTTGAAGAAATCAACTGTGGGAGCAATTATTAGGAAATGGAAGACATACAAGACCACTGATAATCTCCCTCGATCTGGGGCTCCACGCAAGATCTCACCCGTGGGGTCAAAATGATCACAAGAACGGTGAGCAAAAATCCCAGAACCACACGGGGGGACCTAGTGAATGACCTGCAGAGAGCTGGGACCAAAGTAACAAAGCCTACCATCAGTAACACACTACGCCGCCAGGGACTCAAATCCTGCAGTGCCAGACGTGTCCCCCTGCTTAAGCCAGTACATGTCCAGGCCCGTCTGAAGTTTGCTAGAGTGCATTTGGATGATCCAGAAGAGGATTGGGAGAATGTCATATGGTCCGATGAAACCAAAATAGAACTTTTTGGTAAAAACTCAACTCGTCGTGTTTGGAGGACAAAGAATGCTGAGTTGCATCCAAAGAACACCATACCTACTGTGAAGCATGGGAGTGGAAACATCATGCTTTGGGGCTGTTTTTCTGCAAAGGGACCAGGACGACTGATCCGTGTAAAGGAAAGAATGAATGGGGCCATGTATCGTGAGATTTTGAGTGAAAACCTCCTTCCATCAGCAAGGGCATTGAAGATGAAACGTGGCTGGGTCTTTCAGCATGACAATGATCCCAAACACACCGCCCGGGCAACGAAGGAGTGGCTTCGTAAGAAGCATTTCAAGGTCCTGGAGTGGCCTAGCCAGTCTCCAGATCTCAACCCCATAGAAAATCTTTGGAGGGAGTTGAAAGTCCGTGTTGCCCAGCGACAGCCCCAAAACATCACTGCTCTAGAGGAGATCTGCATGGAGGAATGGGCCAAAATACCAGCAACAGTGTGTGAAAACCTTGTGAAGACTTACAGAAAACGTTTGACCTGTGTCATTGCCAACAAAGGGTATATAACAAAGTATTGAGAAACTTTTGTTATTGACCAAATACTTATTTTCCACCATAATTTGCAAATAAACTCATTAAAATCCTACAATGTGATTTTCTGGATTTTTTTTCTCATTTTGTCTGTCATAGTTGACGTGTACCTATGATGAAAATTACAGGCCTCTCTCATCTTTTTAAGTGGGAGAACTTGCACAATTGGTGGCTGACTAAATACTTTTTTTCCCCACTGTATATATAATATATATCTTGAATGTGTAACGATGACGATAGATACCATTGTATACTCGTATAGTGAAACTTCCAATGGGATTTCATGTATAAAGTCTGTTGTATTTAGCCTAACCTCATTGTAAATGATTGTATGTATGGCATTTTTGCAGACATTACTGCAACACCTTGTCACGTTAATCACAGATAAATTCCTGCCCAACTATGGATTACTGATGTTATGGGCATCGCTTGCCAACGCAATTCCAGTGAGTACTTTTAAAATCTTATCAATGATAACCAGGGGCATCATTTTTATGAATTAGATTCATGGTAGCTACTTTACACCTAGAGTGTAAAGTACGTATGTCAAGTATTCAGACCCCTTGACTTTTTCTACATTTTGTTACGTCACAGCCTTATTCTAAAAAACTCCTCATCAATATACACACGGAAATATCACATTTACATACAGTGAGGGAAAACAGTATTTGATCCCCTGCTGATTTTGTACGTTTGCCCACTGACAAAGACATGATCAGTCTATAATTTTAATGGTAGGTTTATTTAAACAGTGAGAGACAGAATAACAACAACAAAATCCAGAAAAACGCATGTCAAAAATGTTATAAATTGATTTGCATTTTAATGAGGGAAATAAGTATTTGACCCCTCTGCAAAACATGACTTAGTACTTGGTGGCAAAACCCTTGTTGGCAATCACAGAGGTCAGACGTTTCTTGTAGTTGGCCACCAGGTTTGCACAGATTTTGTTCCACTCGTCTTTGCAGATCTTCTCCAAATCATTAAGGTTTCGAGGCTGACGTTTGGCAACTCGAACCTTCAGCTCCCTCCATAGATTTTCTATGTGATTAAGGTCTGGAGACTGGCTAGGCCACTCCAGGACCTTAATGTGCTTCTTCTTGAGCCACTCCTTTGTTGCCTTGGCCGTGTGTTTTGGGTCATTGTCATGCTGGAATACCCATCCACGACCCATTTTCAATGCCCTGGCTGAGGGAAGGAGGTTCTCACCCAAGATTTGACGGTACATGGCCCCGTCCATCGTCCCTTTGATGCGTTGAAGTTGTCCTGTCCCCTTAGCAGAAAAACACCCCAAAAGCATAATGTTTCCACCTCCATGTTTGACGGTGGGGATGGTGTTCTTGGGGTCATAGGCAGCATTCCTCCTCCTCCAAACACGGCGAATTGAGTTGATGCCAAAGAGCTAGATTTTGGTCTCATCTGACCACAACACTTTCACCCAGTTCTCCTCTGAATCATTCAGATGTTCATTGGCAAACTTCAGATGGCCCTGTATATGTGCTTTCTTGAGCAGGGGGACCTTGCGGGCGCTGCAGGATTTCAGTCCTTCACGGCGTAGTGTGTTACCAATTGTTTTCTTGGTGACTATGGTCCCAGCTGCCTTGAGATCATTGACAATATCCTCCCGTGTAGTTCTGGGCTGATTCCTCACCGTTCTCATGATCATTGCAACTCCACGAGGTGAGATCTTGCATGGAGCCCCAGGCCAAGGGAGATTGACAGTTCTTTTGTGTTTCTTCCATTTGCAAATAATCGCACCAACTGTTGTCACCTTCTCACCAAGCTGCTTGGCGATGGTCTTGTAGCCCATTCCAGCCTTGTGTAGGTCTACAATCTTGTCCCTGACATTCTTGGAGAGCTCTTTGGTCTTGGCCATGGTGGAGAGTTTGGAATCTGATTGATTGATTGCTTCTGTGGACAGGTGTCTTTTATACAGGTAACAAGCTGAGATTAGGAGCACTCCCTTTAAGAGTGTGCTCCTAATCTCAGCTCGTTACCTGTATAAAAGACACCTGGGAGCCAGAAATCTTTCTGATTGAGAGGGGGTCAAATACTTATTTCCCTCATTAAAATGCAAATCAATTTATAAACATTTTTACATGCGCTTTTCTGGATTTTTTTGTTGTTATTCTGTCTCTCACTGTTCAAATAAACCTACCATTAAAATTATAGACTGATCATTTCTTTGTCAGTGGGCAAACATACAAAATCAGCAGGGGATCAAATACTTTTCTCCCTCACTGTAAGTATTCAGACCCTTTACTCAGTACTTTGTTGAAGCACCTTTGGCAGCGATTACAGCCTCAAGTGTTCTTGGGTATGACGATAAAATGTGGCACACCTGTATTTGGGGAGTTTCTCCCATTCTTCTCTGCAGTTCCTCTCAATCTCTGTCAGGTTGGATGGGGAGCGTCGTTGCGCAGCTATTTTCAGGTCTCTCCAGAGATGTTTGATCGGGTTCAAGTCCGGGCTCTGGCTGGGCCACTCAAGGACATTCAGAGACTTGTCCCGAAACCACTCCTGCGTTGTCTTGGCTGTGTGCTTATGGTCGTTGTCCTGTTGGAAGGTGAACCTTCGCCCCAGTCTGAGGTCCTGAGTGCTCTGGAGCAGTTTTTCATCAAGGATCTCTCTGTACTTTGCTCCGTTCATCTTTCCCTCGATCCTGACTAGTCTCCCAGTCCCTGCCGTTGAAAAACATCCCCACAGCATGATGCTGCCACCACCATGCTCCACTGTAGGGATGGTGCCAGGTTTCTTCCAGACGTGACACTTAGCATTCAGGCCAAAGAGTTCAATCTTGGTTTCATCAGACCAGAGAATCTTGTTTCTCATTGTCTGAGAGTCCTTTAGGTGCCTTTGGCAAACTCCAAGCGGGCTGTCATGTGCCTTTTACTGAGGTGTGGCTTCCGTCTGTCCACTCTACCATAAATGCCTGATTGGTGGAGTGCTGCAGAGATGGTTGTGCTTCTGGAAGGTTCTCCCATCTACACAGAGGAACTCTGGAGCTCTGTCAGAGTGACCATCGGGTTCTTGGTCACCTCCCTGACCAAGGCCCTTCTCCCCCTATTGCTCAGTTTGGCCGGCTCTAGGAAGAGTCTTGGTGGTTCCAAACTTCTTCAATTTAAGAATGATGGAGGCCACTGTGTTCTTGGGGACCTTCAATGTTGCAGAATTTTTTGGTACCCTTCCCCAGATCTGTGCCTCGACACAATCCTATCTCAGAGCTCTACGGACAATAATTTCGACCTCACTGCTTGATTTCTGCTCTGACATGCACTGTCAACTGTGGGACCTTATATAGACAGGTGTGTGCCTTTCCAATTCATTTCCAATCAATTGAATTTACCACAGATGGACTCCAATCAAGTTGTAGAAACATCTCAAGGATGATCAATGGAAACAGGATGCACCTGAGCTCAATTTCGAGTCTCATAGCAAAGGGTCTGAATACTTATGTAAATAAGGTATTTCTGTTTTTATTTTTATTATACATTTGCAAAAATGTCTAAAAACCTGTTTTCACTTTGTCATTATGGGGTATTGTGTGTAGATTGATGAGGAAAAATGTTTATTTAATCCATTTTAGAATAAGTCTGTAACGTAACAAAATGTGGAAAATGGGAAGGGGTCTGAATACCTTCCGAATGCACTGTACATCACCTGAGTTTTTCATCTGTCAGATACGGTAGTTAATTGGCATTTAAACTGGTTTGATTGGAGATATCATAATTATATTTGATATAAAATGTCTTTGTTGTTTAGATTACCTTCTGGGCTGTAGCCTTCATCTTGTCCAATCCCACGGTTTACCAGACAGCCATGGAGCAGATCAATGCAGCATTCAAAGAACAAGGTGTGAACTATAGTACACTATCTCTCCTCTGTTTTATAGCCTCCCGCTGACACATGCCCCATTAGCTAATCTAATCTGCTGTACAGTTTGTGAGGTCCTGATGACCTGGGGTAAATTGGGCTATGGTGGTAATGATGAATGAATGAAAGATCTATGTGCCATTTGACAGTGTGGCTTGGATGAGTAAACTTATGGCTGCTTCTCAGCATTAAATTATGGTGTTTTTTCCCCTAGTGTTAACATGACTGGAAATCTTAACAGATGAAGCAGTACAGTAATTTTACCACATTGTCTCTCCATCTGATCTCACTTCAGTCTCTGACTATTTCACTGTAGAGCCCCCAGTCCAGTTCTTAAAGCCTTTAGCCGTATCCTTATTCTATTCCTCCTCTGTTCCTCTGGTGATGTAGAGGTTAACCCAGGCCCTGTAGCCCCCAGTATCACTCCTACTCCCCAGGCGCTATCATTTGTTGACTTCTGTAACCGTAAAAGCCTTGTTAACATCAGAAGCCTCCTCCCTAAGTTTGAGTTATTCACTACGTTAGCACACTCCGCCAACCCTGATGTTCTAGCAGTGTCTGAATCCTGGCTTAGGAAGGCCACCAAAAACTCTGAAATGTCCATCCCCAACTACAACATTTTTTGTCTAGATAGAACTGCCAAAGGGGACGGAGTTGCAATCTACTGTAGAGATAGCCTGCAGAGCTCTATCATACTATCCAGGTCTGTGCCCAAACTGTTTGAGCTTCTACTTTTAAAAAAATCCACCTTTCCAGAAATAAGTCTCTCACTGTTGCTGCTTGCTACAGACCCCCCTCAGCCCCCAGCTGTGCCCTGGACACCATATGTGAATTGATTTTCCCCCATCTATCCTCAGAGTTCGTACAGCTTTGGTGACCTAAACTGGGATATGCTTAACACCCCGGCCATCCTACAATCTAAACTAGATGCCCTCAATCTCACATAAATTATCAAGGAACCTGCCAGGTACAACCCTAAATCCGTTAACATGGGCACCCTCATAGATATCACCCTGACTAATTTACCCTCTAAATACACCTCCGCTGTCTTCAACCAGGATCTCAGCGATCACTGCCTCATTGCCTGCATCCGTAACGGGTCCGCGGTCAAACGACCACCCCTCATCAATGTCAAACGCTCCCTAAAACACTTTAGCGAGCAGGCCTTTCTAATTGACCTGGCCCGGGTATCCTGGATGGATATTGACCTCATTCCGTTAGTAGAGGATGCCTGGTTGTTCTTTAAAAGTGCTTTCCTCTCCATCTTAAATAAGCATGCCCCGTTCAAAAAATTCAGAACTAAGAACAGATATAGCCCCTGGTTCACCCCAGACTTGACTGCCCTTGACCAGCACAAAAACATACTGTGGCGTACTGCATTAGCATCGAACAGCCCCCGCGATATGCAACTTTTCAGGGAAGTCAGGAACCAATATACACAATCAGTTAGGAAAGCAAAGGCTAGCTTTTTCAAACAGAAATTTGCATCCTGTAGCACTAACTCCAAAAGGTTTTGGGACACTGTAAAGTCCATGGAGAATAAGAGCACCTCCTCCCAGCTGCCCACTGCACTGAGGCTAGGAAACACTGTCACCACCGATAAATCTACGATAATCGAGAATTTCAACAAGCATTTTTCTATGGCTGGCCATGCTTTCCACCTGGCTACCCCTACCCCGGCCACCAGCTCTGCACCCTCCGCTGCAACTTGCCCATGCCCCCCCCGCTTCACCTTCACCCAAATTCAGACAGCTGATGTTCTGAAAGAGCTGCAAAATCTGGACCCCTACAAATCAGCTGGGCTAGACAATCTGGACCCTTTCTTTCTAAAATGAGCCACCGAAATTGTCGCAACCCCTATTACTAGCCTGTTCAACCTCTCTTTCGTATCGTCTGAGATCCCCAGAGATTAGAAAGCTGCCGCGGTCATCCCCCTCTTCAAAGGGGGTGACACTCTAGATCCAAACTGTTACAGACCTATATCCATCCTGCCCTGCCTTTCGAAAGTATTTGAAAGCCAAGTTAACAAACAGATCACCGACCATTTCGAATCCCACCGTACCTTCTCCGCTATGCAATCTGGTTTCCGAGCTGGTCATGGGTGCACCTCAGCCACGCTCAAGGTCCTAAACGATATTATAACCGCGATCGATAAAAGACAGGACTGTGCAGCCGTCTTCATTGACCTGGCCAAGGCTTTCGACTGTCAATCACTGCATTCTTATTGGCAGACTATATAGCCTTGGTTTCTCAAATGACTGCCTCGCCTGGTTCACCAACTACTTCTCAGATAGAGTTCAATGTGTCAAATCGGAGGGCCTGTTGTCTGGACCTCTGGCAGTCTCTATGGGGGTGCCACAGGGTTCAATTCTCGGGCTGACTCTATTCTCTGTGTATATCAATGATGTCGTTCTTGCTGCTGGTGACTCTCAGATCCACCTCTACGCAGACGACACCATTTTGTATACATCTGGCCCTTTATTGGACACTGTGTTAACAAACTTCCAAACGAGCTTCAATGCCATACAACACTCCTTCCGTAGCCACCAACTGCTCTTAAACGCTAGTAAAACTAAATGCATGCTCTTCAATCGAACGCTGCTTGCACCGCCCGCCCGACTAGAATCACTACTCTCGGCGGGTCTGACTTAGAATACCTAGGTCTGTCTTAGAATACCTAGGTGTCTGGTTAGACCGTAAACTCTCCTTCCAGACTCACATTAAGCATCTCCAATCCAAAGTTAAATCTAGAATCGGCTTCCTATTTCGCAACAAAGCCTCCTTCACTCTTGCTGCCAAACATGCCCTCGTAAAACTGACTATCCTACCGATCCTTGACTTCGGCGATGTCATTTACAAAATAGCCTCCAACACTCTACTCAGCAAATTGGATGTAGTCTATCACAGTGCCATCCGTTTTCACCAAAGCCCCATATACTACCCACCATTGTGACCTGTACGCTCTCGTTGGCTGGCCCTCACTACATATTCGTCGCCAAACCCACTAGCTCCAGGTCATCTATAAATCACTGCTAGGCAAATCCCCGCCTTATTTTAGCTCATTGGTCACCATAGCAACACCCACCCATAGTATGCGCTCCAGCAGGTATAGCTCACTGGTCATCCCCAAAGCCAACACCTCCTTTGGCCGCCATTCCTTCCAGTTCTCTGCTGCCATTGACTGGAACGAACTGCAAAAATCTCTGAAGCTGGAGACTCTTATCTCCCTCACTAACTTTAAGCATCAGTAGTCAGAGCACCTTACCGATCACTGCACCTGTACACAGCCCATCTGTAATTAGCCCACCCAACTACCTCATCCCCATATTGTTATTTATTTTGCTCATTTGCACCCCAGTATCTCTATTTGCACATGATCTTCTGCACATGTATCATTCCAGTGTTAATACTAAATTGTAATTATTTTGCACTATGGCCTATTTATTGCCTTACCTCCATAACTTACTACATTTGCACACACTGTATATATATTTTCTATTGTGTTATTGACTGTTCGTTTTTGTTTATCCCATATGTAACTCTGTGTTGTTGTTGTTTTTATCGCACTGCTTTGCTTTATCTTGGCCAGGTCGCAGTTGTAAATGAGAACTTGTTCTCAACTGGCTTACCTGGTTAAATAAAGGTGAAATAAATAAAAAATAAATAAACCTCCAGTAGGTGTCAGCAGTAGCTCAACAATCACCTGGCACACTTTTAAAGGCAGAAATCCTGTTTTTAGGGAGTTATAATGATTATGCTCAGTGGTTTCAGTAATCTGAGAAGGGACTATATTCATGTCATAGTAATTAAGTGAATTTTCAATAATCAACCCCTTTGAGACTTTCAATTATACTTACAGTGCCAGTCAAAAGTTTGGACACACCTGCTCATTTACATTTTTACGTTTACATTTTAGTCATTTAGCAGATGCTCTTATCCAGAGCGACTTACAGTTAGTGAATGCATAATTTTTTTGGGGGGGGGTTGTTTTTTTCATACTGGCCCCCCGTGGGAAACGAACCCACATCCCTGCCGGCCAAACCCTCCCCTACCTTGGACGACGCTGGACCAATTGTGCGCCGCCCATGTGTCTCCCGGTCGAGGCCGGCCTCATTCATCCAGGGTTTTTCTTTATTTTGACTATTTTCTACATTGTAGAATAATAGTGAAGACATCAAAACTATGAAATAACACGTATGGAATCATGTAGTAACCAAAAAAGTGTTAAACAAATCAAAATATCCACCCTTTGCCTTGATGACAGCATTGCACACATTTGGCATTCTCTCAACCAGCTTCACCTGGAATGCTTTTCCAACAGTCTTGAAGGAGTTCCCACATATGCTGAACACTTGTTGGCTGCTTTTCCTTCAATCTGCGGTCTGACCCATCTCAATTGGGTTGAGGTCGGGGGATTGTGGAGGCCAGGTCATCTGATGCAGCACTCCATCACTCTCCTTCTTGGTCAAATAGCCCTTACACAGCATGGAGGTGTGTTGGGTCATTGTCCTGTTGAAAAACAAATGATAGTCCCACTAAGCCCAAACCAGATGGGATGGAGTATCACTGCAGAATGCTATGGTAGCCATGCTGGTTAAGTGTGCCTTGAATTCTAAATAAATCACAGACAGTGTCACCAGCAAAGCACCACCACACTCTAACACCTCCTCCTCCATGCTTTACGGTGGGAAATACACATGCGGAGATCATCTGCTCACCCACACCGTGTCTCACAAAGCCACGGCGGTTGGAACCAAAAATCTCCAATTTGGACTCCAGACCAAAGGACACATTTCCACCGGTCTAATGTCCATTGCTCGTGTTTCTTGGCCCAAACAAGTCTCATCTTGTTATTGGTGTTTATTTGGTCTGCAATTTCTGAGGCTGGCAACTCTAATGAACTTATCCTCTGCAGCAGAGGTAACTCTGGGTCTTCCATTCATGTGGCGGTCCTCATGAGAGCCAGTTTCATCATAGCGCTTGATGGGTTTTGCGACTGCACTTGAATAAACTTTTTTTAAAGTTCTTGAAATGTTCTGTATTGACTGACCTTCATGTCTTACGGTAATGATGGACGCTTGTTTCTCTTTGCTTATTTGAGCTGTTCTTGTCATAATATGGATTAGTTTTTTTACCAAATAGGGCTGTCGTCTGTATACCCCCCTACCTTGTCACATCACAACTGATTGGCTCAAACGCATTAAGAAGGAAATAAATTCCACAAATTCACTTTAAGAAGGCACAACTGTTAATTTACTTTTAAGTCATTTAGCAGACACTCTTATCCAGAGCGACTTACAGTTAGTGAGTGCATACATTATTATTATTTTTCATACTGGCCCCCCGTGGGAATCGAACCCACAACTCTGCCGTTGCAAACGTCCATGCTCTACTAACTGAGCTACATCCCTGCTGGCCATTCCCTCCCCTACCCTGGGCCAATTGTGCGCTGCCCCATGGGTCTCCCGGTCGCGGCCGGCTATGACAGAGCCTGGATTCGAATCAGGATCTCTAGTGGCACAGCTAGCACTGCGCCACTTCAATAATTAATTGAAATGCATTCCAGGTGACTATCTTATGAAGCTGGTTGAGAGAATGCCAAGAGTGTGCAAAGCTGTCATCAAGGCAAGGGGTGGCTATTTGAGGAATCTCAAATATAAAATATATTTTGATTTGTTTTAACACATTTTTGGTTACTACATGATTCCATATGTGCTTTTCATAGTTTTGATGTCTTCACTATTATTCTACAATGTAAAAAATAGTACATATAAATAAAAACCCTTGAATGAGTAGCTGTGTCCAAACTTTTGACTGGTAGTGTACATATGCATATCTCCTAATGAAATCCCACCGAATCCTAATGGGTCTGATATCTAATAATACCTTCTCAGTGATGCATACTGAAACAGCACAGGTTATTCTCATAAGCTCAGTGGTAGACGGTTGTATCTTATCAGTAGGTGTGTGGGAGTGTGTGTGTATCTCACCACGTGTGTGTGTTCGTCCCACCGTGTGTGTGTCCATGACAGACACCAGGAAGACCAGGGTGACCGCTGAAGAGCTGCAACAGATGCCCTATGTGAAGTGGTGCATCCTGGAAGCCATCCGGCTTCGGGCCCCTGGAGCCATCACACGCAGGGTGGTCCGACCCCTCAGGATACAGGTGGGCCTCCTGACCCCCGATAGACTCTGAAATAAGCTTTTTCAAGCCTCTACATCCCCTCAAAGTCAACCCTTAATTTCCATAAATTGTACAGTACAGCATATGTAAAGTGGTGTGCATTCTTCTCTTCCAGAACTACATCATTCCACCAGGGGACTTGTTAATGGTGTCTCCTTACTGGGCCCATCGGAACCCACAGTACTTCCCTGAACCAGAGGAGTTCAAACCTGTAAGTAGTAGACCTACCATATTTACCTTAAATGATATGGGATAGGATACCTAGTCAGTTGGACAACTGAATGCATTCAATTGAAATGTGTCTTCTGCATTTAACCCAACTTCTCTGAATCAGAGAGGTGCAGGGGGCTGCCTTAATCAACATCCACGCCCAGGAAGCAGTGGGTTAACTGCCTTGCTCAGGAGCAGAACGACAGAGTTTTGCCTAGTCAGCTCAGGGATTCGATCCAGCAACCTTTCAGTTACTGGCCCAACGCTCCTACACGCCAGGCTACCTACCCAACTTGGTGGGGCACAGTAAATACATGGAAAGGGAGTGAGTTGTATATTTTAGGACACACACAACCCCCCTTCACACACAGCCTGTGTCTGTGTGTGTGTCTGGCCTCCATTTTATCAGCCTCCCGTGAGAGCCGGGCCGGAGCGTGCGTCAGCGCAGGCCTCCGACAGAGTTCTAATATAAAATGAATGACACACTTGGCGTTGTGGGGGGTTTGGGGACATGACATTTATCACCGCAATTAACCTCTACTGTTGGTTAGTATCCCCCTACCTGCAGACAGAAGAAATGCACTTGTGTTTTCCACAGGAGTGCATTCCAGGGTCACCGACTATCTCTCCCTCACTCTTCTCTCTTAAAAAGAGACTAAATATTTCAATCACCACATGCCTACGCTGCTGCAGTATACATTGACTTTCTAAGTTTGAGAGCATTGGTAAATAATGCTATTTCTCCTCCTGCTGCAACAGTGCGGATGAGGGTGCTTGAAAACCAGGGCACGTATTTAGCCACTTTACATTTTCCGGAGAGGAGAGCTTTATTTCTGTTTCTGTGACATGACAGAGTAGGTCAATGGTCTGGGTTGTGAGGTAAACTGCAGCAATGGTCAGAGACTGCAGGCGGTTTAGTGAGTCAATGCCTTTTATCATCTTCAGTGAGGTTCGTATGTTTTGCTATGAAAGGGGTTGAGTGAATAACCTATAGTAGCCCCTTGGGTCTATACAATAGTCTATGGTTTGTGGCGCATAATTGGTTGTGGACCATAATGCTATGTAATAACCGCTAACTCCAGGTTAGAAACAGTAGCCTTACTAGTATTTTCTTATGACACACTGTGAAATTGGTGGACAGTTGCGCTTTGGAACACGACTTCCAATCTTTAAGTACAGCAGAGAATCATTCAGATTATTTGAAATGACTGGTTGAAATCCATTCACTGCTCTCAATGTAAAATGAAAACATTCAAAGGAATCCAAACTTCCCTGTTCATGTGGTTTAAAATAGTATAGGTCTGCCTGAAGCCCTTTGCTAGGATATAAATAAAGCTGATGTTTTTTCTAAAATAAAATCTCTTCTCTCTTCCCACAGGAACGATGGGAGAAGGCAAATTTAGTAAAGAATGTCTTCTTGGAAGGGTTTGTGGCATTTGGAGGAGGCCGAAACCAGTGCCCAGGAAGGTTAGAAAAACAGACATTATGGTTTTATCTTCAGAAACACACACTAGAGTAGCTACTACCATCCTGGTAGTATCCGTTCGCCCAATAACTTCCAAATCCAGCTAAGTAGTATTGAATCTGTCAAAGACACTGAATAAGGCTTTGCGTTGGCACCAAATGGGTATTTAGAGGTATTGTATTGGATATGGCTTCCATGTTTGATTTTGGGGGCGTTTTTTTTTGCAGGCTATTCTAGCCCAATTTTGCACCAGTAAAATAAGCATTGAAAGCTATTTGTAAAGATCAATATCACACAGACCACAGGCGTATTATGTGGGTACTACAGTATTATTATTGCTGGTGTGTCTTACCCAGTCCTCCAGCCTCCTGCTGTGTCTGTCAGTGTCTCTGAGGAGTTGGCTGGCTTGGGGCTCTGGGTTTGTATAGTTTGTATGGCTGTGCTGTGTTGTTGCCCCTGAATGTCACTCCTCGGGTCCACTGGGGCCCTGACTGGGACATCAGCGGTGGCCCAGAGGACAGAGCGGCCGGGTGCGGCCAGGGGGGGCGGTGTGACGTAAGTAGGAAAAAGATCAGGGCATGTTCCCAGCTGCACAGCAGGATCAAAGACACGGGCGTACTGTAGAGTGGGACTGACCTGTGACCCCTTTCTCTAGGACACACACAGACACATAGTCATACACTATGCATATTTAGACATGCTGAAAGAAAAGGCAATTATATGCAATGACTTACAGTACCAGTCAAAAGTTTGGACACACCTACTCATTCAAGGGTTTTTCTTAATTTTTACTATTTTCTACATTGTATGATAATAGTGAAGACAACAAAAATATGAAATAACACATATGGAATCGTGTAGTAACCAAGAAAGTGTTAAAACAAATCAAAATATATTTTATATTTGAGATTCTTCAAATAGCCACCCTTTGCCTTGATGACAGCTTTGCACACTCTTGGCATTCTCTCAACCAGCTTCACCTGGACTGCTTTTCCAACAGTCTTGAAGGAGTTCCCACATATGCTGAGCACTTGTTGGCTGCTTTTCCTTCACTCTGCCATCCGACTCATCCCAAACCATCTCAATTGGGTTGAGGTTGGGGGATTGTAGAGGCCATGTCATCTGATGCAGCACTCCATCACTATCCTTCTTGGTAAAATAGCCCTTACACAGCCTGGAGGTGTGTTGGGTCATTGTCCTGTTGAAAAATAAATGATAGTCCCAGTAAGCTCAAACCAGATGGGATGGCGTATCGCTGCAGAATGCTGTGGTAGCCATGCTGGTTAAGTGTGCCTTGAATTCTAAATAAATCACAGACTGTGTCACCGGCAAAGCACCCCCACACCATAACACCTCCTCCTCCATGCTTTACGGTGGGAACTACACATGCGGAGATCATCCGTTCACCCACACCGCGTCTCACAAAGACACGGCGGTTGGAACCAAAAATCTCAAATTTGGACTCCAGACCAAAGGACAAATTTCCACCAGTCTAATGTCCATTGCTCGTGTTTCTTGGCCCAAGCAAGTCTCTTCTTATTATTTGTGTCCTTTAGTAGTGGTTTCTTTGTAGCAATTCGACCATGAAGGCCTGATTCACACAGTCCCCTCTGAACAGTTGATGTTGAGATGTGTCTGTGACTTGAACTCTGTGAAGCATTTTGAAATTGTTTAACACTTTTTTGGTTACTACATGATTTCATATGTGTTATTTCATAGTTTTGATGTCTTCACTATTATTCTACAATGTAAAAAATAGTAAAAATTAATAAAAATCCTTGAATGAGTAGGTGTGTCCAAACTTTTGACTGGTACTGTATCTGCCGTCCTTGAATATGTGCCTCTGTATTAACTCAAACAGAGAAAGTATGCTTTGTCAGTTGCACTGAGCAGACTGGCTACAAAGTAAGCCTTTGCGTTGGCCCACTAGCGCTCACACACCACAGAGTCTCATTGTCATGCTGGAGCTAGCATCCTGCATCTCAGTGGTTAATTCACACAGGAGGCTGCTGAAATTATCACTAAGCCAGGGTACAGCGGCGGGAGGGAGGGGAGGGGAGGGGAGGGGAGGGAGGAGAGAGGCACAGAAATAACTCTGGGGAGCATGCCGTGTATGACACTCCCATATTTCATTCTTCCCATCCACCAATCCAATCTAGTTTGATTCTGATGATTTTAGGAGATAGGCCTTATGTCTGCATCACTGACACAATGCCCCGGTATGGCTCACAACAGTCACAGGGTGCTACTGAAGCAGTCTTCAAGGTTATGATCACTGATAAAGACCAGCACACAGCTTTTTCTTAAATCCTCTCTGCTGCTATTCTCTTTACTTCTTTACTTTTCCCTAAAACCCTGTTTGTTTTTCTCTCGCTCACTCTCTTTTTCAATCTCTCTCTCTTGTCGGAGCATTGTGCTGTTTCAGCAGTGAATGTAAATGTAAGAGAGGTCAAATTTGAGCACCAGTACCTACACCTTTCATTTCCTCTCTTCTCGTTGTGACAGCTCTGGGCTAGCCGGGAATGGCACCTCCATTGTGTCTGATAACCTGCTGAAATGCTAGCAAAGATAGTGCCTCAAAGGAGAGTGTCTCTCAGTAAGAGAGATGGAAGAAAAGGATGACTGGATCCTATTACATTACCTTGAGTGTCTGTTACTCTCTCTGTGTCTGAGCTTACTGTTGTGTTTGTTAGATTAGTTTGATATCACCATTTGTTGTTGTTTGTTTTTGGAGGAATGAACATGTTAATCAAGTGTTTTTAATTGTATCAACAGGTGGTATGCCATAATGGAACTCCACATGTTTGTTGCCTTGATTCTCTTCAAATATGATTTCACTTTCATGGACCCGTTGCCTAAACCTGTAAGTTTGGAGACCAGTTTCTCATTTTATGGGTCTTTGAAAACATACATTAATTTAAATACTAATATTGAAGTCTCTGAAGTGAAATACTGTAGTGTACCACTACTAATTACTTCATATCTGCAACATATGCAACACCCAATTCCCCTCTGTGAAAAAGTAATTGCCCCCTTACACTCAATAACTGGTTGTGCCACCTTTAGCTGCAATGACTCCAACCAAATGCTTCCTGTAGTTGTTGATCAGTCTCTCACATCGCTGTGGAGGAATTTTGGCCCACTCTTCCATGCAGAACTGCTTTAACTCAGTGACGTGTGGGTTTTCAAGCATGAACTGCTCGTTTCAAGTCCTGCCACAACATCTCAATTGGGATTAGGTCTGGACTTTGACTAGGCCATTCCAAAACTTCCAATTTGTTGCTTTTTAGCAATTTTCATGTAGACTTGATTGTGTGTTTTGGATCATTGTCTTGCTGCATGACCCAGCTGCGCTTCAGCTTCAGCTCACAGACGGATGGTCTGACATTCTCCTGTAGAATTCTCTGATACAGAGCAGAATTCATGGTTCCTTCTATTAAGGCAAGTCGTCCAGGTCCTGAGGCAGCAAAGCATCCCCAAACCATCACACCACCACCATGCTTGACCTTTGGTATGATGTTCTTACTGTGGAATGCAGAGTTTGGTTTTCGCCAGGCATTACTGGAACCATGTCGTCCAAAAAGTTATACTTTTGAATCATCTGTCCATCGAACGTTCTTCCAAGAGTCTTGATGATCATCCAGGTGCTTTTTGGCAAACTTGAGTCAACTTTTTGGACGAGATGGGTCCCATTATGCCTGGCGAAAACCAAACACTTCATTCCACAGTAAGAACATCATACCAAAGGTCAAGCATGGTGGTGGTGGTGTGATGGTTTGGGGATGCTTTGCTGCCTCAGGACCTGGACGACTTGCCTTAATAGAAGGAACCATGAATTCTGCTCTGTATCAGAGAATTCTACAGGAGAATGTCAGACCATCCATCTGTGAGCTGAAGCTGAAGCGCAGCTGGGTCATGCAGCAAGACAATGATCCAAAACACACAATCAAGTCTACATGAAAATTGCTAAAAAGCAACAAATTGGAAGTTTTGGAATGGCCTAGTCAAAGTCCAGACCTAATCCCAATTGAGATGTTGTGGCAGGACTTGAAACGAGCAGTTCATGCTTGAAAACCCACACGTCACTGAGTTAAAGCAGTTCTGCATGGAAGAGTGGGCCAAAATTCATCCACAGCGATGTGAGAGACTGATCAACAACTACAGGAAGCATTTGGTTGGAGTCATTGCAGCTAAAGGTGGCACAACCAGTTATTGAGTGTAAGGGGGCAATTACTTTTTTCACACAGGGGAATTGGGTGTTGCATAATTTTGTTTATGAAATAAATGAAATAAATATGTAATTGTTGTGTTATTTGTTCACTTATGTTCCCTTTATCTAATATTAGGTTTTGGTTGAAGATCTGATAACATTCAGTATCACAAATATGCAAAAGTAGAGAAAATTAGAAAGGGGGCAAATACTTTTTCATAGCACTGTATACTTTTCTCCTCTCTCCAGAGCAATCTCCATCTGGTAGGGACCCAGCAGCCTGAGACCCCCTGCACAGTGCAGTACAGACACCGGTAGAGCTGCCCTGCCCTGCCACACAAGGGCACTGTGCTCTACAATCCTGCCCAAACACCTGCTAAAAAGAAAACAGAGAAGTTGATGGTTTTATCAATGGAGCTACTTTCAGGAAGTTATTTATTTTAAAAAGAGCTTAGTAAAAAAAGTTATAATATTTTAAAGCACTTATCTAGCACTTATATAATGATACTACTTCTGAAAAGGCAGGAGATGGTGGTACCATCTTCAAATGATGTAATAATTTCCCTTTTTATTATTTTCACCCCACCAAGAGTGTTTCTAACCCCACATGTTCCCTTCCTGCCCAGTCCAACACCTGATTATATATTTGTACAGACATTGATCAGTATTTTGTGATGTAATAGAATATAAGAGTATCTGTATTATCCGATAGATTCTGACCCACACAGAAAATATTCACTGCACATGGCATCAGTATGAAACCTCTATTGTCTTTATGCACTGTGTTATTACTATGTACTGACCATCTTATCTATGGCATCATCATATGGCATCATACCTCACTTTATGAATACAGTCCGCGGTTGCTTTGCCTCAATATAGGCCTACTATAACTGGGTTGTCTTAATAAAGGGTTAAATAAAATAAATAAAGACAGTGATATTTTTACACCATATAATGTAGCCTTAAGTTTGTCTCTTATTTCTACTAGTATAGACCATCTCAAGGCCAGCCTGCTCTTAGATGCCCGAAACAAATACAAACTATTCTGAAGTGTGAAATCAGTGTGCGTGCATATTGATGTAATTGTAGCCTAGTACAAAATAATGTTAATCGATCGGCCCATGAGATTGTCAGTGATGGCCATTAGTGGACAGTGGTATATTCTAATAGGTATGGATCTGTCAGGTCACAGGTTTATACTTGTTTACAAGAGGAAATATGTCTGCCTAATGAAATGGTCCTATTGATGTGGGAGAACAGTGAGGAAGATAGAGGTTGATTAAGGTTAGAAAGTTAGGCTACTGGACACACTTGAATGTTTTATGTGACAGACCATATTTTTTTTTTTTTTTATTAATACATTATTGATAGATAGCGTGTATTCATTCATGCACTCATTAAATGCACTGACAGTCTTTGGTTATGCATTTCAAAATGGTGATGAATCATTACCAATAGGTCTAGAATAGCATAGGCCTACAATAAATGTATGGCAGCTGTTTCAAATGTCAGTGTTCAATTAATAAACATGCTCTAGAGTTTAGAGGGCTAAAATATTCCAAGACAACTGACGTTTATGAATGATACCAGTTTAAGCTACTTGAGTAAACTGAGAGACGTGCTTGGGAATCTGATTGTCAAATATGCACATTATTTGCCTAACCTATCATCACTGCAATAAATTGTCGTGACGTTTATGAATGATACCAGTTTAAGCTACTTGAGTAAACTGAGAGACGTGCTTGGGAATCTGATTGTCAAATATGCACATTATTTGCCTAACCTATCATCACTGCAATAAATTGTCGTAACACATGTTTGATTTGATTCGATATGAAGCCAGCAAACACCCGCCCGCAAGGACGCGTGATAGGCTACTTGCTGAAAGCGCGGCAACATCCATCCCAAAGGCTCGCGAAAGCTCTGACGTGGTCTCCACCTTTGTTAATTTGTAGTTTTTTTTAGACACTCCGCTCCCTGGTAGACTATTGGTCAAATAATGCCCCCTGTGGACATAGCTGTATTTCATTACTGGGTAACGAACATCATTAGGATGCCGGAGGCCAGTCATTGGTGAGTCAAACTGTCTGCAAAAACGTCAGGAGATTATCGGCGCACAGCTGGAATGCAAGGTTGATTCACAAAGAAGAGTGAGGAGGTAGAGAGACAACGCTGAAGACACCAGTCGGACGGATACACACCGCACAGGTAGAGAGAGAAGCGATGGCGACTCTGGTTTCACATATCGCGTTTCTATGTGGAAATTGGACAAGTATCACTTGCGTTGCTTTGAAGCTGTGGGGTGGATAGGGTAGTGAGTGTCAGCGGGTGGGAAAGTGCTCTAACTTGCAAGCGAATGACTTTCACCGAGTCTTGAATAGAGGTTACATTGGGATTTTGTTAGCGATGATGATGATGATGATGATGATGATGATGATGGAACTGTCCTGTCCCCCAAAATAGGCAGATCTTAGGCTAACGTAGGCTATATGATTTTCTTTAAATATAAATATACTTAGATTAGCCTTCCATTTATGTTGCTTGGCAATTTAGAGGTTATGTAGCCTAACTCCTTTTCCCCAATTTAACCCCTAGGATGCTTTAGTGACATTGACAGTTTCTGAGACCGAAATACCAGCTGTCAACGCAACGCGTCTCTTTGAACATCATGACAGCCACTCTTCACTTTACAAGCAGTTTAAAAACCTCCAAATACTTGTCTATTCATCTTGATTTATTATTCAACATCCTACTGGAAAAGTACCCTACATGTAGCCAATAGATGTATAGCATATTGATAGATTATATAGGACCTGAGGTAGGCTATCAGGTGTGAGGTATGATTCGGTTGTTTCCACAATTCTTCCCCATGAGAAAGTTGATTTGTTCTGACAGCGCAAGGTCCCTCCAGACAGGCTCACTCTGACACCAACAGGTTGCTAGTGGTTAAACCTCTGCAGATATGACTCATTGAAAGACGGAATGAATATGTCTGCCTCATAGTGCTGCTTCCTGTGGGGATAAATATTATTGATCTAACTGTTGCATAGACTGTCAGTAACTAGCTGAGAATTCTTCTCAACTCCATGAAGTTGAGAATTCTCAGCTAGTCAGTAACTAAATGGTTTGCTGAAGTAGATTTAGCATAGAATACATTCAGTAAGCAATATTGCATGCCACTTACTATAGCATTGTAACAATTGTGCCCTACATGTTTTTCCTTTGCACCTTGATATACATTTACATTTACGTCATTTAGCAGACGCTCTTATCCAGAGCGACTTACAGGAGCAATTAGGGTTAAGTGCCTTGCTCAAGGGCACATCATGATTGATGGTATGTTAGTAACTTATTTCAGCAGATGATTTTCTGAACAAAAGGTTATCATTATCAAGGCATATGGTGCTGGCTGGATCACCACCACTACCATCCATCCACCCACCCACCCACCCATCCATCTCTCTCGCTCTCTCTCTCTCTCGCTCGCGCTCTCTGTGGGCAGATAAGCATGTTTCACTCATGAGATCAGTGAAATGGAACAATTGACAATTGGAATGTTCCACAATGGGCCAATCAATATAGCCTAATGATTTTAGTCATTGACCTTGTGGTTTGTCTAATGTTCCTTGCCTCTTAGTTAGCATAGTTAGTTTGTAGAACAGTCATTTGATGGTCCATTGATTCCATTCATCATGAGATATGATTTGTATTAAGCCTTGTTTATCATTCTGATTATTTGGAAAGTACAGTGCTTAATGTATTCATGCTAATCAGTCATCTTTTATCTGAGATTATGAGTAAACAAGCACACAGGTGGCTAATGGGAGTGGCATGGAGAGACAGACAGACAGACAGACAGACGGACAGACAGACAGGCTGTTGACTCACAGTTCTGAATGCATCATTCTATTCTCTGGACCTGTTGCACTCTTACTGTCTAACCCAAACCCATATCCTCTTCAGCAGAGACATAAATGGCTGTGTGTGTGTATGTGTGTATGTGTGTGTGTCCGGGGAGAATGACTGCTCCCTCCCATTGAAGCCATGGAAGTTCAAGGCCGACCGCGGTACTGCATTGTTAGCAGAAAACAGGATCCCCATTAGAGTGAATGGAAAAATGGCAATCTCCGTCGTGAATCTTCGTGTAAATAATGTAAATATTTGTTTTTATCGAAGACAATAATTGCTTCTAATACACCAGATGTACTGTATGTCCTTGAACAGATTATTAAAAAATCGCACACAGAAGAAGTTGTAAGGATAATTTAGTTGCTAATGGCAGCCTGCAGTACCCCGGTCGGCCTTCAACTTGAGTTAATCAATGAGAGGGGACAGCACTGAGCTAGCTTGCGCATGTTATGTCTCCATGAGACGCCATCACAGATAGAACAATGAGCCAGATATTTCACCGGATGTATAAATGTGAAGCATACGGTTGGCGTTTCCACTCACTACTAAATATGGTGATGAGAGGAAGCCCAGAGGCCGGCAGTGGGAGAAGATGGAGCAAGATGGATTTTGGCTGATATTCTGCAAATTTTCTCATCGATTAAACATTTGATCTCCATACAGTTTTCAGTTTCCAAAACTAATCTGTAACAAACAGAGTGGACTGCGTTTTGTAGACTTTACCCTTTACCAAAGTTTCTAAAAATGGCGTAGTTTAGAAGGAATGCAATGGTGAATTGAGTTATTGCATATACGCACTTCACAGAGTAGGCGTTCCCTAACGGAAATATGCAAATAAATGCTAGAACACGCCAATAGGATCTCACTGGCTCGTACTTGCCTCTGCCCACCTCCTTGCTTATTCTGCCCACTATGATTAATTTGCTCCCATTAGAAACGACAGGCTCTGGTCTATCTTGGGTTAGTTATAAAAATCTTTGACGCCATCTTAACCGGCTTCATTTGGCTTCATGCGCTATTGACTCTTCACATAGGAATGAATGGTGTAACTTGATTGATGGCTTTGTCCATTCATATACAGTATACAGTCGTGTGTGTGTGCATGCGTGAGAGAGCATCCGTGTGTGTGTGTGTGTGTGTGTGTGCGAGAGAGAGGGAGCATCCGTGTGTGTGTGTGTTCGTGTTTTGGCTCTCTAACAGCCTTGTCTCAGACCACAGGGCACACTGCTGATATTGAAATGAAATAGGGCCCTGCCTGTCTGGAACACTTCTTTTTAATGAAGTGCCCCAGCGTTCTGTGGATTTCATTAGTGTTGCAGCTATTTATAACAGCGTTTACACAGGCCAGGAATGATCTAGACAGCCACAGTCACTATCTATAGCCTTTTGTGTGCGTGTGTGTCCACTGTCCATAACAGTGTGTTTGTGTGTGTGTGTGTTTCCACTGTCCATAACAGAGTGTGTGTGTGTTTCCACTGTCCATAACAGTGTGTGTGACGAGTGATGTGCTGATCCTAAAATAGCCACGGGATGTGTGTGAGTATGAGGCTGCTGGTGACAGTGCAGGCTCGCCAGCGGACTGGACATGTCAGGGTGTATTAATGACAGGGAAACCGTGACAAGCCCCTCATTCCTTCACTTCTCCATATCTCCTTCTCACCTCCACCTCCCTATTTTCTATCTGTTCTACTCCTATACTCCACCCCTCTCCATCTACCACTCTCCCCTCTCACCCTCCAATCCTCTCCACTCCTCTCCTCCATTTCCCCTCTCCTCCATCCCTCCTCCTTCCATCCTCCACTCCTTCCCTTATTACACCTCTGTGGGATCACCCATCTCTAAGCCCATCACCTAATCTTTTGGCAGAGTATTAGTGGCCTGGGCCAGAGATTAACATCTGTTGGCTGGGGTTTGGAGAGGTAAACACTCTCTATTCTCTCTCTATTCTCTATCTACTCTCTCTCTCTCTCTCTCTCTCCTCTCTCTCTCTCTCTCTCTCTCTCTCTCTCTCTCTCTCTCTCTCCTCTCTCTCTCTCTCTCTCTCTCTCTCTCTCTCTCTCTCTCTCTCTCTCTCTCTCATATATATATATATTTCTCTCTCCCTGCCTCTCTCTGTCTCTCTGTGTTGTTGTTTTAACTTCCTGTGGAGGTGGACTGTTTTAGAAGTCATCGGTGGTTGTGAGAACAGAGTGAGCAGAGAGAGGTGTGAAAAGACTCTCTAAGCCAGGCTCTATAGCCAGTCTGATTAATCAGATCACCATTCATACGCTGCCTAACGACACTTTCCACTCTGTGGCTATGGAATGAATCATGTCAGGTGCACTTCAGATACTGTATATGGAAAAATATATAGATGAGGGAGTGGTGGGGGTACAGGGGTTCATAACCAAGATGATGGCATAGTAAAACAACCTGTAAGGTTAAGCCTCAGAACACATTTGTTATTCTAGAACAAGAGCTAAAGATACAGTAAGTCCTGCACTGCTGATTTGTGTGTATTTAACCGAGTGTGAGCTCCACATTCAGTTACATCAGTGATCAGTTAGCCTTCAAGTGAACTGGTACGGAGGAGAGTTTGACTGTCCACTTCTTCCCCCTAGGAGCCATCACAGCATTTGGACTGAGCACACCCATCTCTCTCTCTCTCTCGCTCTCTCGCTCTGTAGCCATGAAGGGGGACCATTTATTTTCCAACCTGAGAAACGCCACATTCTACCAGCGGGTCTACCTACTGGGGGGCGAGGAGCTGCTGGTACTGCAAAGCACTGTGGGACATCCCGCGCTGGGCGACAGCTTCCACCAGATCACAGACTTTAACGACCTGCCCACCTCCCTTTTCGCCTGCAACGTGGACCAGTCTGTGTTTGAGGATCAGGAGGGCAAGGTAAGGTCAAACCACTCTCTTCTTATTCACGGGGGAGAGAGTTGCACAATGTTCCCCTGCTATTTTCACTTAGGCCTAGTTGATTCTCTTGTTTGGCCTCTTATCTAAGGAAAAGTGATTCAAGGTGATAAAACTGTCAAGGTCACATTGTCCATGAGATTGACCTTGTTTGTCCTTCTGGTCCATGCTTCCACCACAGTTCTTGTTATCTGTCGTATGATTGTTTTCTTGGTACTGTATTTATTGGTGCCCTCTAGTCCCCATGGTAACGAGTTGATTAATCTCAGGGGCGGTTTATCTTCTGAATAAATTAAATAAATGTCTTATTGAGGGCAATTTGCCCTTGGCAAAAAAACACAGCAAAGGACCTACTGTACTCCACTCTGTGGATGTCTGGCAGCCATTTTCTCAATTTATCTGGTATGCTGATGGGTGTCATGTCTCCATGGCCGTCTTCGTACTCAACACTGTCCTCATAAACCACCATTATCCGGGGTTGGCCTGTCAGGCCTGTTATGTCATCCAGTTTCCAGCTGAAGGTGAGATCAAAAGCAGCCATTCTGATGGGGGCTGGTCATCCACTGTACCTCTAGCTATAAATGATTTTGACCGCTATCTTGGCAGGCAGTGGTTTTGATATGTGGCTGAGGAGGCCTAATGGATGTCCACAGAGCCATATAACTTGTCTGAAGTTCTATCTGCTGTTCATAAGGGAATGGTGCTCTGTGGACCAGGGCTCTAAAGTGCGACCATTTTGGTCGCATATGCTCCTAAATACTTAGCTGTGCGACCTGGAATAAACCATGTCGCGGGTCGGTCTAAAGCTTCTTGCGGGTCATTTGTTTACACCTTGTTCCGTCATGTTACCTAATTAGCTAGTGAACAACCTGGTAACTTTACTTGTAGGCTATATCTGAACATCTGGGGGCACAGTAAGAAAGGAAAAGGGATAGCTTCTTCAGGAGATCACTGATCATAGCAATGAATGGATGACTGATCTCTTGCATGTCATCACTCACAAACATTATGTTCTTAAAGAGATGGTGTACAATTTTCAATGTAATGCATCTCAATATAGTGCTTTTACACAATGTAGAAACCTAATATTCCACAAATGACTTTGTAAGTTGAATGACAGTTATATGTATCAACATTTTAGCTTGTTATAATAAACACATGCATTTACAGGGTTACATTCGTTTCTAGGGCACAACATGTGCTTCAGAAGTAGCTAGAATACATATAGGCCCCAATATAGATTATATGTCAATCGATTTAAAAAATACTTTCTGGTGCTCCGAAATTGTATGTTGTGATCTTAACTTTTTAAAAGTTCAGAGCACCAGTGCTACCAATTAAATGTTTGAATATAGAGCCCTGGTGTCAACACAGATTAGAGATCTTGACCTCTGCGCCCCCTCGTATATGATGTTTGTGAGATGAAAATAAAAAGACTAAGAGAGTGAGTCCAGTCCACTCCCTCTGCTTTTCTGCTGAATGTGGACATACTTCCTCAGACTTTCTCATCCAGAACTCTTTGCTTCACTGTGTCCTGTTGTGGTCTGTGTGTGCTGGGGAGCATTGCCCCTCTGTGCCCCTCTCTGGAGCAGAGGTCATGTGAACAGAGCAGAGGAACTGTGCTAGTCAGGTCTTTCTGCCCCAGTGAACAGTCCCAGGTCCAGCCCCAACACCTGCTCCATCCTCTTACCCTGCCCCGTCCCCAACTTCAACCCCAAACCCAACCCCAGCTACAGCAGCCTCATACCCAGCCCCAACCCCATCCCCCTGCCCCAACCCCAGCAGCCTCATACCCAGCCCCCCTGCCCCAGCCCCAACCCCAGCAGCCTCATACCCAGCCCCAGCCCCAACCCCCTCCCAGCCCCAACCCCCTCCCAGCCCCCTGCCCCAGCCTCAACCCCAGCAGCCTCATACCCAGCCCCCTGCCCCAGCCTCAACCCCAGCAGCCTCATACCCAACCCCAACCCCCTCCCAGCCCCCTACCCCAGCCCCAACCCCAGCAGCCTCATACCCAGCCCCAACCCCCTCCCAGCCCCCTGCACCAGCCCCAGCCCCAGCCTGCGTCAGTCAGAGAAGAGACATTAGCTGGTCGGCCACACCACTACTTTGATCCTCATGCAGTGTGACAGCTGCATACAGAAGCCATTCCTCCAGGACAGCGGCAGATTAAAGGTGATCCATCACTCATCTGAGTCACACATACTGACATACACACGCAAACACGCCTGGACACAGTGTGGGCCGGGCTGGACTCAGCTGGACTGGACTAGCCTCTTGGGACTGGACTAGACTGGGTTGGGATGGTATAAGATAGGATGGGCTGTCTCTTAGAGTGGATAAGGGGAGGATGAAAAGCGAAGAAGGGGGTGAGGGAGAGGAGAGGAAAGGAAAGGGCAGGATATTAGGTCGAAGGAGTAGAGGGAGGGGGAAAGAGGAGGCTAGAAGTTGATATAGGAGGAGGAAGAGGAGGATGCATTCGACTGACATGACTTGAGTGACGCTAAAATGCATAAAACATACATGCGTTGCCACGACAACCACTATAAGCATTCCATTTCCCTCTGAGCCATAATGAACCTTAACATCAGTCTACCAGTGAGGCATCATCACTCAGGGCCTCTGCGTCTGCTGACTGATCTACCAGGGTGAAATCAGTCCAACAGCAGCTGGATGTTTCCCTCTAGTTTTTTTGCCCTGATTTGCCCTGCCGTCAAATGTATTAGTGTGAAGCATAGTTTCTGTTTGTGCACCCGAGCCAGAATCAGTTTAACAGGCTATGTGATAAGATTACTTTGATGAAAATCCCTGGGTGATGAATCATGACTATTTATAGCTGCATAGTGTTAGCTATTAGCCTGTCTCTAATAATAGTTCAGTCTGTCTGGGGACTGGGGATGGAAAATCAGTCAGTTCTAAAGCCCCAGTGGTCTGCAATGGAATTTTGAGTGTCATTATTGGCCCCCTCGGTTCCAAGTTCCAAACGACATGATTTACTTCTAAGTGTCCTCTCAGATGAGGCTCCAGACTGTTTCCAGGACCAGGAGTTAGACAGCCACTTTTACAGCTTAAGGATATTTAAACCAGAGATTTGCACCTCCAAGACTAATACTAAATTGGATGGAATCCCTGGTTACATTTGTGTGCCACAGACTTTTCCCCTCTAGTCCCTCTCTACCCAGGGTCTTTTCTCAATCTATAGTATTGATCGTCAGCTTGGAAATGTCAAGGTACAGCGGAGGAGTCTGAGTATGATTCATAACCAGGTCGATGGGGACTGACTGACGTGGCATCACAGATGACAGTGAAGACAGATTGCAGTTGACAGGGAGAGTTTACGAGACTGACATGCTCCATCTTTTCTGTTTTCTTTTACAAGGTGATTTTCTTTGTTCTTTAAAGCTGCAACACGCTCCTGAGGAGAATATAATAGTGTATACATTAGTGTCTAATAGCAGCCTACTACTTACTAAAACTACATACTGTGTAGCCTACTAATCGTACTAAATAATATTTAGAACGTATTGTTTAGTAAAAATGAATGCAGTAAGCAACAAATAGTAACATACTAGGCTCACCCATCCTGAGAATGCGTCATCTAATGTGCAATTGCGTTGATTCCCGCCATTTGTTCAATTTGGTACGGCGCGGCCCCTTATCTCATTATCAGCTGATTATCAGCTGTTGTCAAACACATGTGAGTCTGGAAAGACGGTTATCTTCCTCAAAAGTGTGCAGCAAATTCTACTAGATGAAAAGCTGAAATTAGTATAACATCCTGGCATTTAAAGCATACTCGATTTTCCACATTTTACAAACCATAAAACTTTATATTTTCGCAAACCTAAAATGCCTACTATTTAGAACGCAAGTATGGGTATTCGGACACGGGCAATGTGTCTAAAAGTGTCAGTCTCTGAAAGGCAATATGTTAGCTAGACCCTAGCCTAAAATGTCCTCTGCCCAATACATAATTACAGCCAGGGCGTTGAAAGGGAGAGAGGTCAGAAATGCAACACCAATGGAAAGTTTCCTCTTAATGGAAGAAAAAAGTTGCCTATTAATGGGATGTCTCCAACAAGGAAGTGGCGGGAGAAAACAGCTGAGTAATGGGGGAAACTCTGGGGTCGGGGTGACACCCTGACAGGTCAGTTCCTCTCTGAAGAGCCCAAGTTTCCTGACAACATTTTAAGGAATCTACATTTGAGTGAGCTTTTGGTTTCATTGCGGTTATGTAAATCCGACATTTCCGCGGTGGCGTGCACTCGACTTTATATGGGAATATCACTTTTATGTGGCCAGCTACAAGTATGGACTTTTGCACCGCATGGATAGTTTCCCTTCAACCCGGGGACAAAGTACTCTGTGTGTGTCCCCCCACCACCACCACTACCACTATGATCCCGTCTGTTGCAAGGTTGGCTAAAATTTAAGGAGATTAGCTGAAACAGTATCTGGGTAACGGGTCACTGTGTTAAGAGCGCTTTATCAGACGGTTGCTCTCTGAATAACATTTATGGGGTGGCGGGAACAGAAAAAGTGCTGATGTCTACTTTATTCAGTTAGCCAGCGAGGATGCACACAGAGCTCTAACTTTTGTTAGGAATCCTGCTGCTTACAGTAAAGAAAGATCCATGTACCGGAGACACTATCAATATGCAGTTTAAAGACTGTCTTTGGTTTGACCAAACACAACAAAGTTCCATCTGAGTTAAGCACCTCAAAGATTACAGTATACTTTATATGTCAAGTTGGCTGCATTATAATAAACTACCTGTGTGACCATCTTCAGTGACTGGGTAAGTTAGTTTCCTACTCTCTATGAGAGTTGTTGAGACCATATTTGCAAGTGCATTGTGCATGAAATCTATAAGCCCTGTTTCATCTCTGACACTGATTGAGTTGAGAGGAAAT